TTGTTACTTTCAGAGCAGTTACTTGCATCATTTCACCCATCAGTCTATATGATCATTAATTCATTCCAGGCATTAAACAAATTATCATAACACACCGTTCTCTACACCGTTTCTTCACATTACCCTCGCATTGCCTGGAAGGACCCTTAAAACTAATAATTATGGGTCCCCGTGTTTGTGAATCGCGGTAAAACCCTGTTTAGGGACCGTTCATAATTTATGGCTGTGTGTGTGTGTGTGTTCGGGATGAAATGAACAACGGTCACGTGGCGAGTGATCGGGCGTTTGACACCAGTGACCTAGATAGACCGAAAACATTGGCGGAGGTTGAGTACGCGGTTGCCCGTGCTAAACGTGGTAAGGCTGGCGGTCCAGCCTGTGTATACCTGCTCTAAAAAGTAAAACATGTATTGATCTTTTATAGTATGAACAGAAATTATTGAGAATTTTAGGAATATGTTTAATTGGATTTCTAGCATAAACAACCTTGACCAGCTATCAAATGCTTGGTTTCATTCAAGAGAGACAACTCCGTTAATCCTTTTTCATTAGTTTGTGCAGAGTTACCCCCCTTTGTTTACTTGTTTACTTCAGTGATCCTCAGTATTTATGATTTAGAGAAGCGGAAGTTGATTTGAGAGTATTATAACAAGGACATCACATCAGCTAAAGTGATTTCAAGAAGACAGACATCCCTTTGCCCACTGTTTATCGTGTTTTGAAAAATATTGCAAATGGATATGGCTTTGAGCACCAGGGAGGCAAAGGTAGGTCCAGAAAATTGACTGTCGGTGACAGGAAGCGGCTTGGTATTCTTGTTTCTAAAAACAAACGAAGGAGTTGAGAAAACTTAAGGCTGGATATGATTGATAGAGGAACTGCGGCTGTCTGTAAGGAGACAATTAGAACTGAGCTGCATGCAATGGGTTGGCGGAAAAGTCGAGGAATTCCATCACCGATCATGAAACCTGAACAAAAGGAGCAAAGGTTGAACTGGTGCTTACAGCATAGAAATTTTAACTGGGACAATGTGACTTTCTCAGCTGAAAGTTCTGTGTGGCTGTTTCCTAATACACTGAAATTCTGGACCAAACAAACTGAAAAACCTTTGTATCAGCGCCCAAAGTACAGTCCGAAATTTAACGTGTGGGGTGGCATATCTGTGTTAGGGGCAACGCCCCTCTATGTATTTGAAGGGAATATGAACAGTGAACGGTACACAGATATTCTCGAGCGACATTAACTTCCATCTGCTCACGTGTTCTATGGAAAGTTTTGGATTTTCCAGCAGGACAACGACCCAAAACATCGTTCAAAGCATTCAAAGGCCTGGTTTCGGACCCAAAATATGACATTATTAGATTGGCCAAGCTATAGCCCTGACGTAAATCCAATAGAAAATGTTTGGGGACTTAAGAAGGAAAGTGTCAATAAGACAAATCTGACAAATATTGCTGAAATGAAAGAAGAGGTGGTCCGATATTGGGACAGCATGGACCACGACTTTCTAACTTCTTTGATCAGTAGTATGCCCCTTCGCATTAAAGCCTGCATTGCTGCCTTTGCTGACTTGACAAAATACTAACTGTTCACCTGTCTTTGAACTTGGAGTCATGTTCTGCTAATATTCACATTTAATGCGTGAGAAATGAGTGAAAATTTTAAAAAAATTACAATCTTTAAATTCTCAATAATTCCTGGTTGTACTGTACCTCCGACATGACGTGGGTTGCGTGGTGTGCTATAGCATCTCACATACGGTCAATACCTTGGACATAATCGTGTTTTACCTGGTTTGATATAGTATATATACCTGCGGCATTCACAGTGGGTTTTTCGGCATGACATAGGCGTGAATCCTTTGGCACGATGTACATGTAGTTACTCTGACATAAAGAAAAGTCTTTGGGGATGAGATAGCGCCTGTATGAGCGGATTGCTTGACAGGATATAGTGTATATTCCTCAGACATAAGTATGAATTGTTTTGCATGACCGCCTCCGTGGTGTAGTGGCTAGAGCGTCCGCCCGGAGAGCGGAAGGTCGCGGGTTCGATCCCCGACCGCGTCATACCAAAAGACGTTAAAATATTGTACTTGTTGGTCCCTGCCTGGCGCTGGGCATTAATGGGTACAACAAGGACTGGTCGGCTCGGAGTCAGTATAATGTGTCTGAGTGGGGTATTCATGCTTCACTGCGGCATGGTATCTCAGTGGGCTAGCACTATAAAACCAGCTTAAGTCCGGGCTAGTACAAGCAGCCGCACCTACACATACACACGCATGCACGTATGCTATATTTCAGGAACCAGTATGCTTGTATTTGTAATAAGTAGCATACATAAACAATACAGTTTATACTGTGAGCAAGTACAATTATTTGATTTTTCTCAAGCAAATTATTGATCTCCCCTACTGTATAACAATCGACTCGCCCAAATGCAAGCCGTGAACTCGTTAAGTTTAGTCGCCGCTAACTTTATTCACGGAAATAATATTGTTGATAACCACCCTACTATTCCCAATTTGGAAAAGACCTGACATGCCACGTTTTATGTGGGATACATGGACAGTGGAAGTGGAAGGACTGGGCATTACGGTTAGGACGTGTGGGCCGACGTGTGTTGTCGACGTCAACACACGTAGATCTGGACCCGCTTTGAATATACTGCCGCTTTTGCGCTGCTGACGGATTTTCCAGCTTCGTAGTTTCTTCACTGGGATTAGGGTCAAGAAATTCTTCTTCAAACCATTCGCTTTTTACTTCAAAAACACCAAAGATGCTGCCGAGATAGAAATTGCCGATGTCCGACATGTTTGTTTACAAACAATAGGGTCAACGAGTTCGTTGTATTCATACGCGGTGAATCGGTCACTTTAATTAGCGGTCCATAAACTGTCAGTTAAGTACGGTTTTGATGAGCTCTCAGCCAATCAGAATCGAGTATCACACACTGTCGTGCTAGAATCAGTAATCAACACCAGAGAGGTAACTGGGAAAATGAAAAAAACGAAGTTCACTTTTTGGTCAGCTGTCCACACGATATGACTTGTGGGAAAATGTATTAAATATTAACCCTTTTTCACTCTTTTGCCACCTTCTGACAGGCCGCATATATGCTAGGTAATGTTAAATTAATAAAACCCTTAGCTGCATTAGTTACTAAAATGTTTAATAGACGTAAACCAGGGCTACGACACAATATAAGATTTCAAGCGTATCGTGTACGCACATAAATACCTTCGTACGTCTAACATTTTTTCCGTGCGTATCGTGCTAATGGAAATCTATTTCGGATAAATACTTGTTAAGTTTCTTTTGCGAAACACGATTTGACACATAAGGAAACCCCGACAGTAGGAATCCCTTGCGTTGCCATGCAACGATATGCGTCACTATTTTTCGATTGGCTAAAAACTACACTGTTCCTATTTATATCCAGTCGGACCTGGCATTTCGCGCATCACACAGTCGCGCAGTTATTTCTCACGCGTCTTCAAATACAAATACATGGTTGGAAATAGTGATCGATGAATCGTCCAGACAAACCACATCAACTCGCTCACACAAAACATGCCAGTACTCCTTCAAAATTCTCAGTACACCTCCACTTGCAATATGATGTGTAAGTACACTCGCACCCCCAAAAGTTATCTGGAGCCCTGGTAAACACACTTTGTAGTCATGTAATTAAATATACCACACTTCACTGTTGCTTATAGAATTGTAATATTCTATTCACTACTATCTGTTTTAGGTAGAATGTAGTGGCTTGTGTCTCATAGGCCAGATGTTATATTTTATATTAAGTGTCTTAAGGTATCTATGTGACACACAAATAATAACACTCTTTCTTCACCGTAACCATACGCAAACGCAGTTTGTAGTCATGTAATAAAATATATATACCAGACTCCATTGCTGCTTACAAAGCTGTGATATTTTATTTACTACTATCTGTTTTAGATATAATATAGTGCCCTGTGTCTCATAGGCCATATGGCCGGATGTTATATTTTATTGAATGTTTGAAAGCCTGAGAGAGAGAGAGAGAGAGATAATGATGATGATGATGATGATGATGATGATATTCAGGGTGTGTGTGTGTTTGTTTTTTGTGTGTGTGTGTGTGTGTGCGTGTGCGTTAAGCAATTTTGTTCGGGCGGTCAGCAATTTTGTTCACACGTGCTAGGGGGTCAGCAATTTTGTACATAAATATATGTTTAAAATTATGCTTAGAAATTATGGGAAGGGGAAGGGGTGGTCATTGATTTTGTTCATGATATAATGATAATATAATAATAATAAGTCATCTTCTATAGCGCACGTTTCCAAATACCAAGTGATTGCTCGCCCCTCTTTTTAGAATCTGATTCTTATTACCCCGGATAACCTAAGCTGCCTGTTAGGCGCTAGAAGGTTATAGTCACATGACTTTATGTGTTTCACTTATTTTGTAGATAGATTATAGGGGTGGGGGGAGCGGGGGGTCATTCACATTGTATATGCTTCTCCAAAAAATTATCTTCACCCCCCTAGCCATAAATTATGAACGGCCCCTTAGGGTCGGTTCCTACTACTAATTCCAGACAGTGTGACCTTCGGGTCAACTTTTGCCCTTTTTGTACTGCTACGATTGCTTGTATGTCTCGGACTGGCAAACGGTTATTCGGTCGAATCTGGGATTCGAACCCAATACAAACAAATCCTGACTTAGCAGCGCATCAACCAGGGAGTTCATAACTGATCTTAATAAACATATTTGGTCGAAATATGGACCACAATTATAAAGTATCCAAATATATTTAGGAAAATCGTTCAGAACGAAGAAACAGATGGTTTTGTCGCGTTGGTTATTTTGTAAGTGTGATAATAAATATCTCTTTGGGGAGTAAATACAACAGTTTATGTACAGTTTAGGCCCATCTTGCATGATCTAGTGCAGAGTAGCGTGGCATATATATACCTAATGTCTATAATTTTGTATTGATCTCTCGGCAGAAATTACCTCCGACAGAAAATGGACGCCGAGGAGTTCCGAAAGCGAGGTCGCGAGATGATCGACTATGTTGCCGACTACTTGGAAACAATCCGGAAACGTCGTCCGTTCCCGGAAGTGAGCCCTGGTTACCTGCGGGAGCTTGTTCCAGACGAGGCTCCAGAGAGTCCCGAGAAATGGGAGGACTTATTTAAAGACATAGAACGTGTTATTATGCCAGGGGTATGTATTCCAAAGTGGTTCTTCGAAATTTAATTATTGTGTGGTGTTATGGCTGCATGGATAGGCAAGACTGCACTATGACACTGGTGTTTCAGTGGTTGGTTGGTTGGTTGTTGTTTTACGCCGCACTCAGCAGTATTCCAGCTATATTTCGGTTGTCTGTAAATAATCGAGTCTGGACAAGCCAAATCCAGTGATCAACATCATGAACATCGATCCACGCAATTGGGAACTGATGACATGTGCTTACCAAGTCAACGAGTCTGACTACCCGATCCCGTTAGTCGCCTCTTACGACAAGCATGGGTTGGTGAAGATCAGTTTTAACCCGGATCTTTATAGGGTATGTGTTTCAAGTATTTATATCTGCAAATGCTGATGCACGCTTTGGGTTATCATGCGAGACTAGATTTATACGTTGGGTTATCACTGGATGAATGGGTACCTATGTCAGAATAGATGTTACAATGTGGTTGCATATCTGCATGGTATACATGATGGGTAATCGTGTCAAAATGATATGTTCAATAGGTCATCATATGAATATGGTTTGTTTGATAGGTTATCATGTCAAAATGGTAGTTCAGTGGGTTATCATATCAACATGGTATATTTAATGGGTTATCAATATGGTTTGTTCAATGGGTTATCATGTCATTATGATATGTTCAATCGGTTATCATGTCAAAATGGTATGTTTGATAGGTTATCATGTCAAAAATGGTATGTTTAATAGGTTATGTCAAAATGGTAGTTCAGTGGGTTATCATATCAACATGGTATGTCAATGCGGTATGTTCAATGGGTATTACACCAGTATGGTATGTATGATTGATTATCGTGCCAGAACGGTTACCAGGATAATTAGGTACAATGGGTTACCATGTCAGTATGACATGTGCAGTGGGTTATCATATCAGTATTGTATATACAATGGGTTATGTCAGAATGGTACATGAAATGGGTTATCATCTTATTATGGTATAAACAGTGGGTTCTCTTGCCAGGATAATTAGGTACAATGGATTACCATGTTTGCATGACATGTGCAATGTATTATCATATCAGTTTGGTATATACAATGGGTTATCATGTCAGAATGGTATGTACAATGGGTTATCATCTTATTATGGTATATACAGTGAGTTATCTTGCTAGGATAATTAGGTAGAATGGGTTACCATGTCATCATGACATGTGCAATGGGTCATTATACCATTATGGCATATACTATTGGTTATCATGTCAGAATGGAATGTACAATGGGTTATCATGTCAGAATAGATATTATAGTTGCTTATGTCAGTATGGTATTTACACAGGGCTATCAGGGTTGTGTTACGATGGGTTATCATGTCAGTATGGTTCTACATAGGGTTATCAATATTGCCATGGGTTATCATGTTGAGATAGGTATTACGGTGGGTTATCATGTCTGGATAGATATGTACAATGAATTACCATGTCAGAAAAGACATAACAATGGGTTATCCAGAAAAGTACAAATATTCCAGAAAAGTCAGTCATGGTAAGAGAAATAGATTAAATCTATTATTCTGCCAGGATAATGGTTTTCATTGGGTTATCATGCAAAGATAGGTATTGGTATATATTTCCAACATGTGATCATGGCGGGGTTATCAGTTGGGTTATCATGACAATAGGTATTACAATTATCATCCCAGGATAAGTGTGTTCATTGGGTTACTGATTGGTGTGTGCAAATATTTTCATAGATCTGTTCACTGGGCTCAATAAGCTTGGCAGTTTGAGGTATGTACAATCGAGCCCCATTGTTCGGAGAAACTGAAGCCCATTTGTGGTGGCCCCTGTCAAGCCAAACAAATCCTTTCAGTGAGTGAGTGAGTGAGTTTAGTTTTGCTCCACTCTCAGCAATATTCCAGCTATATTTCGGCGTTCTGTAAATAATCGAGTCTGGACCAGACAATCCAGTGATCAACAGCATGAGCATTGATCTAACGCAATTGGATAAGATGAAGTGTCAACCAAGTCAGCGAATCTGACCACCTGATGCCGTTAGTCGCGTCTTATGACAAGCGTGGGTTACTGAAGATCAATTCTAACCCAAATCTTCACTGGTAAATCTTTTCAGGTTATGTGTAATCTGAATGTTTTTCACCACAGCTGTCATTCAAACACATGCAGTGATGTGCCATAAGTTAGCAGACACCTAGGATGTCACACGTTTTGAGATTAAATATCGTTGTTCGTTTTTCGTGCATAACTTATGATCCGCGAAACGTTGTGTTGTGAAAATGTACACATGTAGTGATGACGTCATCAAGTATTGTGTGCAGCGCTCAGTTGATTTCTGCTGGTAAAAATTGGATGTTCCCAAATATCATTGCTGCTAAAGGAATTTTGACCAACAAATTTGATAAACTTGAAATAACCCATCTCATCTACTTAACACATTTTCAAAAAATATATTAAGTTGAAAAGAACCCTTGAAGTCAAGCGATATTTAGTGAATAAGCTTGGTAAGTTGAAACACTAATGTCATATAGAGGATTGTTTGGTCCAGACTCAGTTTTTTAGAGACCGCCATCATGTTTCTTGAATATAGCTGAGTGAAGTGGACCCGTGAAGATCCGGGGTAGAATAGGTCTTCAGCAGCCAAGTGCTTGCCATAAAAGGTGAATGCTTGTCGAAGAGGAGACTAAACGGATCGGGTGGTCAGTTTCGGGCTGATGACACATGTCAAGCAGATCGATGTCATGCTGTTGATCACTGGATTGTCTGGTCCAGACTCGATTATTTACAGACCGCCGCCATATAGCTGGGATATTGCGGAGTGCGGCGTAAAACTAAACTCACTCACTCACTCACTGAGTGAAGTGATTAACAAAAATCAATCAAAACTTCAAACACAAGGTTTTTATTTGGCCTCCTGAAACATACAGACTAACTTGGAGTAAACCGTTCACCAAAATACACAGCACTATTCTATTTTAGTGTGAAATGCCACCAAAAATTGTTTCCAATAGGATTTCTCCGGTCTCTTAACGCAGATCCATATTTTCTGCCATGTTGGCACCATGGCTAATCAATCAGTCCATAAAACCTTCGTCTTTGATCCAGTTCCTGACAAGAAACTTGACAAATAAAGAAATATTGAAAATCAATACATAATTATTGCTTGATGGCTCAATAAAATGTTTAGAAATCATAGCAAACATGTAGAATTACTGATTTCCATCTGTCTCTAATCAATAAGATCCATATCTGAGCTGAGCCATTACATATTGGGATAGTGTTTTGTTTTCACTGGTTGAAATCTGTGTTAAGTGATGTTAGTCAAATATGTTATATTGATGTTGCTTGGGCCCTGTGTCATTGACTTACTGAATCTTATCTCTTAGCTGAATCAAGTTATTGCAAATGGAAGAGACGATAGTTTGCAGGGATTTTTATCAATATGTGGGTGGAGTGTGGAGCTGTGAGTGCAGACGAACAGCTGATAATGTATCCATTGGGATGAGGAGACTTACTAAGTGTTGGGAATTGGTTAAAATCTCATAATTGATGATTGGTCCATTACAACCGATCAATCATCGAAAATAATTGGTTAGTGTCATTTATCAAATGTTCCTGTTGTCTTTGTAAAAAATAAAGAAAAAACATGTAGTAATTTGGGTTTTTTTGCAAATTAAACAAAATCCATTTGCAAATTTTGCATATTTAAAGGATTATTAGTATGTTAGGAACACAGATTTCCTGGATTCTTTAAGATAAATTCAATCATGACTTGGAACGAGCTTGTTGTGCTAATGAAATGTAAATTTAATGACACAGACAAAAGTAACCTTGTGAAAAATATTGTTCATGCAAACAAGTGTTCCAAGATTGGTTGCGTTCGATTATGAGAAAACATGTTCGATTGCTTGGTCGTTTAGTCACTGCGACCAATCTTCGATTATTTCAATTAATCAGACCACCACTAGAGGAGACTGGGCAAGTGATGGAGGTATGGTAACCTCCCAAAACTTACACAGCCAAATATCTGAGACAGCTTAAAACAACATTTCTGATTCAGTGCACAACTAATCCTCAAGCTGATACCTATTTTTATAATAGATTAGTCCAGCATATTAAGCACTGCATTTTCACAAAATTTCACTAGAATATAATATTTGTATCTTGACACCAGCATTTATCAAGGACATAACATGTGATACTAAATGGTCATTCTAGCACGACAATGTGTGATACTTGATTCTGATTGGCTGAGAGCTCATCAAAACCGTACTTAAATGACAGTTTAAGGTTCACTAATTAAAGTGACTGATTCACCGCGTATGAATCGTTGACCCTATTGTTTGTAAACGCTTTCGTTTTTTAAATTACATTTAGCGGTCTTAACTCAACGATAAAGGACCACAAAATTGAAAACATAGTAGCTTTATCTTCTAATTATCATTATCACTGACAATGTACATTCTTGGCACATTAAGCACTGCATTTATCTGTAAGCCTGATACAACAGTTGAGGAGATTTTCAAATGAAAACATATCATGCATCTTTAAACTTTATCCCCCTTGTACCAGGGCTCCAGTTAAGGGACGTATCGACGTATGTACGGCTAAAAAATATGCATGATACGGTAGGAAATAATTTAGAAAACGTAGCAGATACGCATCACAGCAATGGTACGGTCTCAGAATCATTTACAGACGTATTTATCTGAAAATGTATTATTTTATTGTTTATTGACCTGTTTACACAAGAATAGCAATGTTGTGGTGCATATATGAAACAAGATTACTGATACTGCATTAAATTCCATTCAGTACTCGAAATGTACTCTTAAGATTTTCCAGTACTCCTATATTACAAAAATAAGGAGTACGTACTCCTGATGTTGAAAAATTATCTGGAGCCCTGTAGATCATTTTCAAGTTTCCATGATGTAGCTTGTACAGTTCATATCATTTACTTATCATTAGAAGAGGTGAGGTGATATGGGGTTTAACGTCGTGCTTGAGAATATTTCGCTCATATGACGACGTGCATGCGTGTGTATGTGTATGTGCGGCTGCTTGTACTAGCCCAGACTTAAGCTGGTTTTATAGTGCTAGCCCACTGAGATACCATGCCGCAGTTAAGCATGAATACCCCACTCAGACACATTATACTGACTCCGAGCCGACCAGTCCTTGTTGTACCCATTAATGCCGAGCGCCAGGCAGGGACCAACAAGTACCATATTTTAACGTCTTTTGGTATGACGCGGTCAGGGGATCGAACCCGCGACTTTCCGCTCTCCGGGCGGACGCTCTAACCACTACACCACGGAGGCGGTCTATCATTAGAAGAAGAAAGAAGAAGAAAAATAGTTTATTAACGTGTCCCGTGGCATACAATTGACATGTTAAAATCCCATAAAATTCACAATAAAAAATGTAGACCACTTGGCCCTATGGCCTATGAGACACGATAACTCCTTAAAATCCATATAAAAATGTTTGGGTGTGTATGGAGGTTAGCAGGTGGGGTTCTTCAGTTTGGGTGTATATGGAGGTATGCAGGTGGGGTCCTCTGTGGGGAAGGGTATGTCTTGATCTATAAATGAGGAAAAATATAATAAAAGTGATTTCTTTAGGCATTCTTCAAGTAATTGTGTTACGAGAGTGTGTATTTTGTAATTTGTAATGACATTGGTTAGGTGATAATAATTATGAGTCACAATGTTTAAAGTTTTGAGTGTTGGTTGTGGGTCACATTTTGAGTCATATATGTTCAGTGGCAACAGTATAATTTTAGCGGCACGCCTTTATGATAGCGCTCCAGAGTTACCTTCCTTGACCGGATGTTTATGTGTTGACATCGTTGTGTCGTATGTTCAACATGTTTCGAGAAAGATCTAAGTGTTTAATGATACAGCCATGCTTTGCTGGAAAGTTCGAGAATCTGTGTCAGTATATATAAAGGCTGGCTGTTGTGTTGTGTGACACACAAGGACTGACACACGGACTAACATACGGAATTACATGGATCTTTGACTGAAGTTGTCCATCGTTGTTTGCCTTCGTCCTTCGTCACATTGCCATCGTCTGACCCTGACACTTCGTGCCTGACTGCTCTCATTTGTAAACAAACTTCATCTCACTAAATATAAAGGCTTGTGGTGAGTTGATATTTTATATGTGACCCATTACTTTAGGTTTGTGACGCAATTGCATTGTACTAGACATCTGTATTGTGATTCATTGTAGCGTGCTCATTGTTTGGGCAATATATTATTGAATATTTTAGAATTGCCTGTTTTATTTTGCTGGTTCAAAGGGGATTCTTAAACCTTTTGTCACGGCGATTATTTAACCGTAACAATTGGAATAAGCTGCCTCACTGACAATATGTTTCTGCTGGTCTATATTCATGCCTTGCATCCAGCATTTCAAATGTCATATTTTTGGTTCTTATTGATTTAAGATCAGGGTTTTATGCTACACAGAAATGTGCATCCAGTACACAAATAGAATGGATACAAACAATATATATTGTGTCCTGGTGCCACTCAGTTATTTTCATTGTATCAAATTCTTGACAAGTAATATATCGTTCCTGTTATTAACATATTTTTTACACATAATGCTTCATATTACATTACACCTTATTGCACTACTTCATTACTTGTACAGGACCCTGATATTTCCTGTGTCAGGACCTTTGAAATCTGTAATTTTCCTGAGGACTCCTAGTTTTGTAGGTAAAGCCCTATGACTGTCCTATGATTGTACAACTGACTGACTGACTGAGTTTAGTTTTACGCCGCTTTTAGCAATATTCCAGCAATATCACGGCGGGGGACAGCAGAAATGGGCTTAACACATTGTGCCCATGTGGGGAATCGAACCCGGGTCTTCGGCGTGACGAGCCAACGCTTTAACCACTAGGCCACCCCACCGCCCCTATGACTGTACAAGGGCAGTGGGGTAGCCTGGTGGTTAAAACATTTGCTTGAAATGCTGAAGACTTGGGTTCGATTTCCCACATGGGTACAATGTGTGAAGTCCATTTCTGGTGTTCCCAGCTGTAATACTGCTGGAAGATTGCTAAAAGCGGCGTTAAACTAAACTCACTCACTCACTCACTCACCAACTAGTACAGTATATCAACCGTTGTGTGTCCTCTGTCTCCAGGTGACCCACTGGCACAGTCCCCAGTTCCATGCCTACTACCCCACGGCCAACTCCTACCCTGCCATCCTTGGGGATGTACTGTCTGATGCCATCGGATGCATCGGCTTCACATGGGTAAGTTGAGATGTTGGACTTATGTTTGTATGTTTTTATGCTGAAGTAAACAGTATTCCAGCTTAATTAGACCATACTCGCATTTAAACAGTGGTTGATGTTATGATGACTAAATCGATGTAAGTTTGATGATTGTCACATTCAACCAAGTCATGGTGTCATCACTTGGTCATCACGGTGTCATCACTTGGTCAAACCGAACTGATCCTCAGCACAAACGATCGGTTACTCAGGTTTTCATTGGCTACAAACAAAGAAGGTTCTGGACCTATTCTAACCCAGGTTCTGAAGGGTTCTCAAGGGTGCAAGCAAAGAAGGTTCTGGACCTATACTAACCCAGGTTCTCAAAGTCCACAAGAGTGCAAGCAAAGGGTTCTGGACCTATTCTAACCCGGGTTCTGAAGGGTTCTCAAGGGTGCAAGCAAAGAAGGTTCTGGACCTATACTAACCCAGGTTCTCAAAGTCCACAAGAGTGCAAGCAAAGGGTTCTGGACCTATTCTAACCCGGGTTCTGAAGGGTTCTCAAGGGTGCAAGCAGAGGGTTCTGGACCTATTCTAACCCAGGTTCTGAAGGGTTCTCAAGGGTACAAGCAAAGAAGGTTCTGGACCTATACTTCAAACCCAGGTTCTCAAGGTCCACAAGAGTGCAAGCAAAGAAGGTTCTGGACCTATTCTAACCCAGGTTCTGAAGTGTTCTCAAGGGTGCACGCAAAGAAGGTTCTGGACCTATTCTAACCCAGATTCTGAAGGGTTCACAAGGGTGTAAGCAAAGAAGGTTCTAGACCTGTTCAAACCCAGGCTCTGCTGTGGTCAGATCAGTATAAAAGAGGATATAGTGCCAATACCCATTCAGTGACGATATATACCTTGATAATGTTTTTGCTTGCATTACAAGCCTCTGTGAATGTATAGGATTGACAAGATACCACAGGCATTGGCATGCACAAACATGTTGATATACTGGCCAATATGCTGTTATGAAAGTTCGAGTTTATCTAACTTACACAGCTCTCTGAGTTCACAGTGGCTTGCAATGTAAAAACTAGCACTACATTGTCACTGCAAGGGTCTTAGTACTGTATGTAAGGTATTGCTAAGATCATGACAGGGACAATATATACCTTGAAGTTTGTTTTGCTTTTCAAGCCCCTGTGACTGAGTTAAGATACATGTACTATTTCAAAACAAAAACGTGTTTGACATGATGTTTGTGAAGCATGCCAGGCAAAATTAACTGAAGCAGACATAAAATATTCACAAAACTGTTCTCCCACTGAGAGAATTACTATTGGTGTAGCAGGTGAAACTGCTGGCAGATTCTTGTGATGATCTATTGTTACTGTTACTATGCCTGCAAATGACTGCTAAAATTACAGATGACCATGGCTAACATGGCTATATTTCCAAGTAACATAGTGTGCCATGGCTTTGTTAAGTATACCATGGTCCACTATGGCTCTATTTGGAAGTACCACAGTCTCCATGGCAATGTCTCAGATGACAATGGTCCAGTGTGGCCAAAATCTTCAATGGTCTGCCATGGTTTCTGATGTTCATGGTAGTGTTGTACCATGGTTACCATATGGTGCCAAGGTAAGAAATGTGGCCCCAGTTTACTATACCAAACCATTGTGGCGGTGTGTGGTCCTGTGCGTAGAGCTCAGGTCACAATCAGTTGAAGATAAGCAATGGTGCTTACAGAGAGTCCTTGGATGGGTGACCATGTTCGGCAGCTTGACTCCTGAGAGTTTCTAGGACTTGAGTCCTGCCCCACAATGAAGCATGTGATACATGTGGTCTCACCTTAGGCAAGTGAGTTTGTTCAAAATTGCCTCTGTCCACCCAGCAGTAAATTGGGTACCTGGTATGATACGATGGTAGTCTGAATTTGAACCTTGAGCGCCTGACATTATTATTGTAGGAATATAAGCTTTTACCTCCCGGCTGCCGCAATACAGTGCCTATCACCAGGACTAAACGAGCTCCAGTGTCTTTTATACCTCAAAGTATTTATTGTTATTTATTTGTATTTTGTCAAGCTCTGTTTTCCAAAACAAATTCTTTTAAGGTAAGGCCAGACCAATTTTATTTCTTGTTTTACGGATCCGCCTGTCGTAATTTTTCAAGAATAAGAAAACAAATAAAAATTAATTATCCTCGCTCAAAAAATAAAATCCTAATGTTTTTATCTGCCAAATATGTAAACTTACAATAATTTTTTTTAGATTTTTTTTTGCCCATATACACTACATAAATTGCCAAAAGCAAAATACTTTGAGTATTTAGAAGGAATATTACTTTTGACTGGTGAATGATGGTAAAGCATTGTCAGCATCATGGTGTGATGGGTTACTGTGTTCCTGATCAGAGGACAAAATCATGTAAGACAGCAGAAATAAAATTGGTTTGGCCTAATAAAGTATTGTCTTTATGCCTAGTACCATGGCAAGTGATGGTAAAGCATTGTGAGCATGGTACACCATGGTGTGATGGGATACTGTGCTCCCTGATGGCAAGTGATGGTAAAGCATTGTCAGCATGGTACACCATGGTGTGATGGGTTACTGTGCTCCCTGATGGCAAGTGATGGTAAAGCATTGTGAGCATGGTACACCATGGTGTGATGGGTTACTGTGCTCCCTGATGGCAAGTGATGGTAAAGCATTGTGAGCATGGTACACCATGGTGTGATGGGTTACTGTACTCCCTGATGGCGAGTGATGGTAAAGCATTGTGAGCATGGTACACCATGGTGTGATGGGATACTGTGCTCCCTGATGGCGAAAGTGATGGTAAAGCATTGTGAGCATGGTACACCATGGTGTGATGGGATACTGTGCTCCCTGATGGCGAGTGATGGTAAAGCATTGTGAGCATGGTACACCATGGTGTGATGGGTTACTGTGCTCCCTGATGGCGAGTGATGGTAAAGCATTGTCAGCATGGTACACCATGGTGTGATGGGATACTGTGCTCCCTGATGGCGAGTGATGGTAAAGCATTGTGAGCATGGTACACCATGGTGTGATGGGTTACTGTGCTCCCTGATGGGTTACTATGCTCCCCTGATGGCGAAAGTGATGGTAAAGCATTGTGAGTGAGCATCATCAGTGGTACACCATGGTGTGATGGGATACTGTACTCCCTGATGGCGAGTGATGGTAAAGCATTGTGAGCATGGTACACCATGGTGTGATGGGATACTGTGCTCCCTGATGGCGAGTGATGGTAAAGCATTGTGAGCATCATCAGTGGTACACCATGGTGTGATGGGATACTGTACTCCCTGATGGCGAGTGATGGTAAAGCATTGTCAGCATGGTCCACCATGGTGTGATGGGATACTGTGCTCCCTGATGGCAAGTGATGGTAAAGCATTGTCAGCATGGTCCACCATGGTGTGATGGGATACTGTGCTCCCTGATGGCGAGTGATGGTAAAGCATTGTGAGCATGGTACACCATGGTGTGATGGGATACTGTGCTCCCTCATGTTGTGTACTCTACTGTCCCCCTTGACTCCAGGCATCCAGCCCGGCCTGTACGGAGCTGGAGGTGGTCATGATGGACTGGCTGGCGAAGATGCTGCATCTACCTGACGAGTTCCTCTTTAGCTCGGGGGGACTGGGAGGCGGGGTGATACAGGTGAGTTGTATGTGTGTGGGAGGGGTGGTACGATGGGGGATATGGTCATGCAAGGGTTATGTGTGTGTGTTTTTTGTGGGGCAGGGGAGGTTTACTGGGAGGCGTAATTATACAGGTGAGTTGTATCTGTGTTGGAGGGGCGGTAGGCTTGGGAAGGGGGCATGCAAGGGTTATGTGTGTGTGTTACGTGGGACCGAAGGTTACTGGGAGACGAAATTATACACATGAGCTGTAACTGTGTTGGAGGGGTGGTAGGCTTGGGGAAAGGGGCATGCAAGGGTTATGTGTGTGTGTTTTGTGGGGCCGGAGGTTACTGGGAGACGGAATAATACACATGAGCTGTAACTGTGTTGGAGGGGTGGTAGTGTTGGGAAGGGGGCATGCAAGTGTTATGTTTGTGTGTTTTGTGGGGCCGGAGGTTACTGGGAGACGGAATTGATACAGGTGAGTTATATCTGTATGGGAGGGGTGGTAGTGTTGGAAAGGGGCATGCGAGGGTTATGTGTGTGTTTTGTGGGGCTGGAGGTTACTGGGAGACGGAATTTTACAGGTGAGTTATATCTGTATGGGAGGGGTGGTAGGGTTGTGAAGGGGGCATGCGAGGGTAATGTGTGTGTGTTTTGTTGGGCTGGAGGTTACTGGGAGACGGAATTATACACATGAGATGTAACTGTGTTGGAGGGGTGGTAGGGTTGTGAAGGGGGGATGCAAGGGTTATGTGTGTGTGTTTTGTGGGGCCGGAGGTTACTGGGAGACAGAATTATACACAAGAGTTGTAACTGTGTTGGAGGGGTGGTAGGGTTGTGAAGGGGAACATGCAAGTGGTTTGATGTGTGTCTGGGTGTGTGGATGTGTGTGATGTGGGTGTGGGTGTGGATGTGGATGTTGATGTGGGTGTGCGCTCATAGAATGTTTTTACACTTGTCTCCCCACACGCAAAAGACATGTCAATTTTGACGTGATAAAAGGACTGTTTCCCATGTAACACATGATAATTATTTTGTAGTACTGATGATTGTGGGGTGTGTGGGTGGAGGTGGGTGTGGGGAGGGAAGTGACAGTTGGGGTGGGTGGGCACATAGGGGATGTCTTGGGTAGATGAGTGTATGCACTCCACCTCCATAAAAGAGACAACGTGCAAGTAGTGGCTATTATGGAGATATTTTAAAATGTGAGGTCTGTTTGAGGTCATGAAACTCTCAGATTTTGTTAAAGAATTAAACTTACAGTTATTATTAACTTAATCTAATCATGCACTAGTGACTGAGACTAAACATAATCCTATCAAATGACTGGAAGAAAACACTTCCTGAAAAAGGTTTCTTGAAAGTTTCAGACTTGCTGACATTGAAAGACTGACTGACTGGCTGAGTTTGGTTTTACGCCGCTTTTAGCAATATTCCAGCAATATCACAGCGGGGGACACCAGAAATAGGCTTCACACATTGTACCCATGTGGGATTCAAACCCGGGTCTTCGGCGTGACGAGCCAACGCTTTAACCACTAGGCTACCCCACCGCCCCAACATTGAAAGAAGAATTAGTTCTCCGTCTTGACAAAACTTCTGTAGCTTTCATAAGAATTCAGGTTGGCTTTGTTGTTGTACAAATATTACATGATCCCTCCAGGGTACAGCAAGCGAGTCGACACTGGTCGCCCTGTTGTCTGCACGGACCATGTTTATCAACAACATGAAGAAGGAGAACCCCCAGATTGAAACTGAGAGCATCATGTCCAAACTCATCGCCTACACATCCGACCAGGTAAGAGGACCTTACGATATGAGTTGAGATGAATCGCTTCCACTCGCAGGGAAACAGATATACCTGGGCTTCACTTTTCAGACTTATTTTTAAATGATCCTGGTCGAAGTGAAAAGATCATATAGCAGTCATTGAACACCTTGAAGTATTTTACTTGAAATCTGTGTTTTTTGTATTATATTTTTTATTTATCATTAATAAAGATTACATTTAAAAATAAAAAGGTCTGGTCTCAAAGTACTGATATTTTAACCAATGAACATGATTGAATAAGTGAGTAAGTGAGTTTAGTTTTATGCCGCACTTGGGCAGTATTTAATCTATATGGCGGGAGTCTGTAAATAATTGAGTCTGGACCTAACAATCCAGTGATCAACAGCATGGGCATTTATCTGCACAATTGGGAACATGTGTCAACCAAGTCTGCTAGCCTGACTACCTGATTCCTCTAAGTTGCCTCTTACGACAAGCATGGGTTACTGAAGGCCAATTCTAACCCGGATCGTCATGGGTAAGAGACATGATTGTATCTTGTGTATGCGAAAGATGCAAGGGTGCACAGGGGCTGGGTCTCTTTGGTCTTGGGGTCAATAAAAATATGAAAATATCTTTGACCCACCCACACCTTTATACACTCAAGTGTTACACCTACAAACAGATGAAGAAGATTGCAATATGTGTTGCCTTGGTTACGAACACTTTTCATGTTTGGCGGCTTCTATATTTTATTTATTTTATTATGAAAGAACTTTAATTCTAAAACAGACAGCGGTTTTATACCACATGCCACAGCATTATTTATAGATTAAACTTTCATTATATTATATATTTCCCAATATCCTCTTGGATTCTTGCATAGTATGGATTACCAATAGCTGATGCTTGTTGTAAGTGCCAAAAAAGATAGATCATGTCTTCTTGTTTAGTGATTGGTTGTTTGCATGTCATCATGACATGACAGAGTTGATCATAATGTCAACCCCTTATTTGCTCTTTCCAGACTAAATCGTCTGCTGTCTTCAGTAAAATCGGTGAATTGATGACTGCGCCATAACACAATAAGGTCATAAAAGTGTTTATTTCAGTCACACTCATCGGTAGAGCGGGCGGGGCTGATTGGATCGGTGTTGATGAGGAAGTTGGAGTCAGATGAGAAGGGGTCACTCAGGGGTCACACGCTGGAGGCGGCCATCAGAGAAGACAAGGCCAAGGGACTCATCCCCTTCTTTGTGAGGACATTGTCAATCTTCTTGTGAACTGGATGGTGTCTGGTCTTACCCACAGGGCCAGAACTAAAATTTTGCTTATGAAAACTATATTTTGCTAGTTATATACAGTCAAATCCCGATGAGTCGAATCGCTGGGGACCAAGTAATAAATTCGACTTATCGATGTATTCAAGACATAGGTATGTCTATGAGGGTAGAAAAAAAGATGATCCAGTCCTAATTCTTCCGCCTAAGCATTTGTTTATCTAATGATTTCCATATCACTAATAGGGACACCTTATCAGTTCCAGTCTGATTAGCACAGACAGTGATTTCCGTAAAATCACTAATCTGCCTTTTGAACTCAACCGTCAATGGCGGAAAGGTGTGAGCCGCGCTGGTTTGTTAATTGGATCAGTTTGCTACACCAATCAACTTCTCATTGACTGACTTCGGCTTATGTATACAAGATTGCTGTTGTTTGAACCTCATGGGACCAAATTTCCTTCTCGAGTCATCGTGTGTATTTATGAGACGAATTCGTGTAACCGGTATTCAAATGATGACAACTATAACAGGGAATGGTCGGGACCGACAGGTACTTCGAGTTATGCATAATATTCGAGACACCGGCATTCGACTCATCGGGATTTGACTGTAGTTGCCATGAACTAATAATTTGTCTGCATGCTCCTGAAATGCTCCTGAAAAAACTTTCCTAAAAGTTTAAAACTTGTTGAAAGAACCAATTTCAGCTTAGAACGGCATTTAGAAGTGCTACAGATGAAGGCAAGAGTTTATGGATGTCCACTTCTTTAGTTTGAGGAACACAATGTTGTTTCGGGGAATTTTCTTGCTCTTTCATCAGTTGAATGAAAAAACTAGGAAACAGATAGCTATACAAGTACAACAACAACTGATGAAGGAATGAGTAAAAATTATACTCCTGAACGTTGTGTTCTTCAAAATAAAGCAGTTGACATCCATAAATTCTTGCCTTTAGATTTCTTATCTGTTATAGAAATGCTTTTTCAGACTTTCAAAACTTTTAAGGAGCCCAAATTAACATTTATTAGGAGTGCCAGATTCTTATAATTGTGGGTTCATAAACCAGATTTGCGTTGATCATGAATAGTCCTTTTCTCATGGGTTTCACCAGAGTGATCAGTCTGTAAACCTCCATCACTTCCAGCATTCCTCTAGGATCATGTAATATAATATATGACTGTTCAAAGCTACATTGACACCCACTACTTAATAAATATAACTAGTTGTACACCAAATACTTTCATCTTCAGGCTCCACCCCAGTGCATGCAACATTCCTGGTCCTTGTGGTATTATTATATAATGTGCTGAGGTATTGCTGTGAGGAGTTTCTTGCAGCACTCTGTTGATATAAGCTGGGCCCCGTCTTAGCATATCGCAATATACCTAACTTTGTCAAACGTTAGCGCGTGCAAAGGGAGCCGGGAACCAGCTTATCTGTTGATACCACTGTAAATGGACCATTCGTAACTACACGTGTCATTCCGGCAAGCTGGATAGTGTCTCAGACGTACCCCTCTAGTAGCCTTGTTTATGACAGGACCCTGTCTAAGCACATGTAAATGGGCATGGAGAAGAAAATAGTCTAGCACTATTACCCAAGGAAAGATAACATTGAATTTCCAAACATGGCTCCTAGAATATCCTATATCCTGTGGGCAAAACAGCAATACAGTCATTCTCTTTGTAAATATGTTTCAGTGTTTAAAGTTGCTGATCCTTTAGCTCAAAGTTTATGTTTAAATTGTGCCTTGCATAGTTTAGTGAAGTTTCAAAAGTTCAACTGTGCCGCCATTTTCATGCTTCGAAATGCTGTGTAATCCCAAATATAACATGTTAAAAAATTCAGCTCAGTTTGCTCCAACAGGTCACGTGTCACCTGTATCAGAGAATATATAACTAAAAATGGCTTTATCTTACTCAATTGCAGCTGTGTGCTACTCTGGGAACAACCCCATCATGCGCTTTTGACAACATTCCTGAGCTGGGACCCTTGTGTGAGTATTGATGGAGTTATCTCCCATGAACTGTTGAACAATTAAGTTCTTATCGTTCTTTTTAAGGGGTCCAGACTCGATTATTTACAGCCCGCCACCATATAGCTGAAATATTAATAAATAATAATAATAATAATAATAATACTTTATTGCCCGACAAAGGAATTCCTTTTACAACAGTGAGGCATACAGCATGGTTAAAACAAATTAAGCAAAGAACAACGATCACTTTAAACACACAGATAAACAGGCTGAGAAGGATAACTAGTGTATACTGTAAGAGACTAGTAGTCAAATACATATAAAATTGTGGCTGGGTCTAACAAGTCTAATAACAGGTATAAAAGATGTTTGGGACCTTTTTGTGCAAACTTTAGGTACGAGGAATCTACGTCCAGATGGTAAAAGTTTAAAACAAGAATCTAAATCGTGAGACGGGTCGGATACAATTTTGTTCGCAGACATCAAAACATGATTCTCATACATATAACAAAGGGGGTTAAAATTCATGCCGACAATTTTTGAACAGATGGTTACAACTTTTTGCAGTTTGTTTTTGTTTTGGAGAAAAGGGCACTGAACCAACATTGAACAGAGAACAGTAAAATAGATTGGATACAGCAGTTATAGAAAACATTCAAAATGGTATTGTCAATGTTAAAAGATCTGAGCTTTCTCATAAAATACACCTTCTGAGTGCGGCGTAAAAACTAAACTCACTCACTAACTCTTCTCAAGGCTAGGTCAGGGTCCAAATTTTCTACCAGGGTTCCCCACCCCCTATTATCTTACCCTGCCCGGATACCCTTTATGTTAATTCCTGACATCAAATTTGTAAGAAATGGCAATATATTCTTCAGCTTGGAGGCTACAATTTCGAAGTTTATTCAATATCTTAACCATGTATTACATTCAAAACAGGTGACTGCACAATTATGTCTATATCTTCAAAGACAATACAACCTTTCAATCATGAAAGAATAACATATTACATTGTTTAATATATTAGTCACATCATATCGGATCCGGGTATTCAGAGACGGGTACCGGGTACAACTCATCACCCACCCATCCCAGGTATCTGGGTTACCCTTCCCAGCCCTAATAAGTACTTTTGTTTGTTCTGTAAATATCCGAGTCTGGACCAGACAATCCTGTGACTGTCATTGTGAACATCGATCCAACCAATTGAGATACGATGACATGCATCCAACAAGTCATCAAGCCTGGCCACCCGGAAAAGAAAACAGCAGAATACAGTCCTGGCTTCCACCATAAATTTTAAAAAATGTTTCAATCCGGAGAATGTATACTGTAAATACTCGGGAAATGCGTTTTCTGTAATATTTGACTAAATAAATTAAAAAAACCCCAAAAAACAACAACAAAAAACAAACAAAAAAACTCTGGTATATCTGCACTAAACACATCAAACGTTTCCCTAACACAATATTTACATTCATATCTGCCATATATGTTCAGTTAAACATAACATGTGACATGATAGAAAATGTACACCATCTGTACAATGTGTAACACAAAAACCTCTATATAATAAGATCGATGTTATTTTAACAATATGTTCTTTAATTTGTTATTTAATTTCCTGATATTTTTTGTTGTCTTAATTTGGATTTAGATGTATGAATATTGACATAAACAAGATCACACACACACACACACACACACACAAAAAGTCTGGCCACCCGAACCCATTAGTCTCTTAAGACAAGCATGGGTTGCTGAAAAACAGTTCTAACCCAGATCTTCCACAGGGTTTTTTTTGTAATGTGAGTACTGGCTGATCCTCAATTTAATAAGTTACCAAACAAACGCTGTAGTGTAGATTAACCCCCAGATTAAACACTGGATAGTTTTTTTTGCACAGAATGCTCCAATTTCTTTTTTTGCAGTTTGGGTTACAGATGATCTATAAAAAAAACAACGACCTGTGCATTAAATAGAGAAAATATGCTGTTATTGTCTGCTTGTACATCCATGTAATGAATTGCACTGTACTTTTATTGCGGCCTTGTATTACAGGTAAACAAGATGGAATCTGGCTACACATTGACGCAGCATATGCCGGGAGTGCGTTCATCTGTCCTGAGTTCCGACCGCTGCTGAATGGGGTTGAGGTAATCACACACACAAGAGATTTATGCATCCTACAACTGGCTGATGAGTGGCGGGTAGCCTAATGGTTAAAGTGTTCGTTCGTCATCCCGAAGACCCGGGTTCAATTCCCCACAATGTGTGAAGCCCATTTCCGGTGTCCCTCGCCACTATCTTGATGGGATATTGCTAAAAGCGGAGTAAAACCCAACTCACTCACTACAACACACTGTATACATACCTAGAAAATATACTGCTCATGTTTTTCTCAGGATACTGAGAAGCTTCATACTTCTTCATAGGAGTCATGACATAAGGTGAATCCCACCCCACATGAGGTGAGGTGAATCAAGAAATAATAGAAATATCCTTATCAAAAGTTGAGTTGAATACTTGCAGCAAATATTTGTCAAGTAAACTCATGTATAAAAGAAAGTACACAGTTGGTGCTTTTGGATCATTTTCCAAAAATCAATGTAAATATTTTTAAAATGTTTTATGTTGTGGGCATTTATGAATATGATATTTATTATGTAAATGATACACAGAACCTACTGGGTAAACAGTTGTTGAAAGTGGTATTTAAAGATGTCCTTATGTGTTTCAGGGGTGGAAATAACTTAAAATTGCTAGTGTACTCTGGTACAGTGGCTGGCACATGTAAAATCACTTGCTCTGATAATTTTTCCACTATACCGGCCGTTTTCTTGTTGATTTTTTAAATAAACAACATAATTAATATTGGAAAGTCAACTGGACACCGGTACAGTGTGATATACAAATTTGCTTGCCCAACAGAAAAAAGACTCGGGCGTCAGGCAATGGGTTATTTCCACCCCTGTGTTTTCAGTCTAGTGGCATGAACATGGATAGTGACATACTCTGTCAAATGTGTTTGACAGAAGCTTCTGTATCTGAAACGTACTGAAATTGTTTGTCAATTTGAATTTCTTCAAAATGTAGTTTATTTGTTACATTGTAATTGTCCATTTTTTCTCTTTTCAGTTTGCCATGTCTTTCAACTTTAATGCTCACAAGTGGTTGCAAGTGAACTTCGATTGCTCAGCGATGTGGTCAGTATTGTAGACTACAGTATGGTTAAGATGATAAGATTGACTGAATGGGGATCTGACCATGAAGATCCGGGTTAGAATGGGTCTTCAGCAACCCATGCTTGTCGTAAAAGGTGACTAATGGGATTGGATGGTCACGCTCGCTGACTTGCTTGAAACATGTCATCATATACCATTTGTGCAGATCGATGCCCATGATGTTGATCACAGGATTGTCTTGTCCAGACTTGATTATTTACAACCCACTGCCATGTAGCTGGAATATTGCTGTGTGCTGCGTGAAACAAACAACAAACAAACAAACAAACACATACATACATACATACTTACATACATACATACTAACATTTGAAAAACGCCGATATCCAACTCAGCTCAGCTGCTCAAAGGCGCTTTTGTTTTTCCCTCGTTCACTGGATGTCAATCTCAACGGCACATCGTATTGTCAATCTCAACTCCCTGGGGAGCATACAACTCTTGCAACCACTAGGCGCACCGAGTTATTGTGGCATTCCCATCCTTAAATGGGGCTCTTGGGTTAATATTTGGATCCCAGCAACTCATGATTGTCAAACGACCATTGTAAACTACAGATATGCATGGTGGCAATGTGTATTGGGTGTCTACATACTCCCCGACCGCCTCCGTGGTTCGCGGGTTCGATACCCGACCGCGATCATACCAAAAGACGTTAAAATATGGTACTTGTTGGTCCCTGCCTGGCGCACGGCATTAATGGGTACAACAAGGACTGGTCAGCTCGGAGTCAGTATAATGTGTCTGAGTAGGGTATTCATGCTTCACTGCGGCATGGTATCTCAGTGGGCTAGCAACTATAAAACCAGCTTCAGTCTGGGCTAGTACAAGCAGCCGCACATACACATACACACGCATGCACGTTGTCATATGAGCAAAATATTCTCAAGCACGACGTTAAACCCAATTTCACCTCACCTCACCTACATACTCCCCCAATAAAGTCCATGCTCATGCTATCAATCTCTGTTTTTTTCATGTCTTGTTCATTTGTCATTGTGATATAGCTGAATTAATGTGTATAAATGCTGAATTCAGCTGTACAAGGAAGCTCAAATGACACAATCTTCAAAGTGATTATGTGTTATTGCTTCCCTTATGCAGAGCAGGATCCTCTGATTTTGGTTTCAAATCCAGCACTTGCCTGATTTGGTTTGTTGGCACCACACTTGTGATTGTGGTTTTCAGCAAACTGGTAAATGTCTGAGAGAAGCATCACTTTAGGTTTTATTCAAACATTTTGTTAACTCATGGAATAACTACAGTTTTGTTCGCATCATGGTTGAACCATTGTGACCTCTTCTATACAAAATCAATATATTTTGTTACATACTAGCCTATGGTAACTATCACTGGTGTGATGCACAATGAAACTTGTCCCTACTCACACTTACTCACCATGACTCTCTACACATCCTTTCACTATATCTCCCCCCTAATCACTGCTCACGCTCTCTCTCCCTCCTGCACACCCTTTCTCACCCACACTTTCCTGACACCACTGTTCACCTTTTATCATCAGGGGTGGAAATAACTTTAAAATTGCTAGTGTACTCCGGTACAGTGGCACATGTAAAATCACCGTTTTCTTGTTGATTTTTTAAATAAACAACATAATTAATATTGGAAAGTCAACTGGACACCGGTAAAGTGTGATATACAAATTTGCTTGCCCGACTGAAAAAACGACTGGACTCGGGCGTCGGGCAATGGGTTATTTCCACCCCTGATCATTCTTACTCACCATCTCTCTTCCCTAATCACCTCACATTTCCCTCCTTTCCTCATTCTTTTCACCCATACACTTCCTAACTGCTCAATACTCCCGCCTCATGCCTACTCACCTTTACTTATCCATACTAACCCTCATTTAGTCCAACTCACCATATTTTACACTGCTCACCTCTAATCACTCTCATTCAGCTCTGGGGCGGTGGGGTAGCCTAGTGGTTAAAGCGTTGGCTCATCACGCCAAAGACCCGGGTTCGAATCCCTACATGGGTACAACGTGTGAAGCCCATTTCTGGTGTCCCCCGCCGTGATGTTGCTGGACTATTGCTAAAAGCGGCGTAAAGCCAAACTCAGTCAGTGAGTCATTCAGCTCTCTTTTTGCTCACCTCTAATCACCCTCACTCAACTCAGCTCTCCTCTCTAATCACCCTTGCTTGATGCAACTCCTTTTTACTGATTGCTTCTCACCCGAATCATCCCTAACCACATTATTTCTCTTTTTCAGGATAAAAGACAAGAGATTAGTTAGTGAAGCATTTGATGTTGATCCCTTGTATCTGAAACATGAAAATCAGGGGAAGATGCCAGACTACCGGGTAAGTGAGGGGTGCCAGGGTGGACTTAACTGTGTGAAGATGCCAGACTACCGGGTTAGTGAGGGGTGCCAGGGTGGACTTATCTGAGGGAAGATGCCAGACTACCGGGTAAGTGAGGGGTGCCAGGGTGGACTTAACTGAGGGAAGATGCCAGACTACCGGGTAAGTGAGGGGTGCCAGGGTGGACTTATCTGAGGGAAGATGCCAGACTACCGGGTAAGTGAGGGGTGCCAGGGTGGACTTAACTGAGGGAAGATGCCAGACTACCGGGTAAGTGAGGGGTGTCAGGGTGGACTTAACTGAGGGAAGATGCCAGACTACCGGGTAAGTGAGGGGTGCCAGGGTGGACTTAACTGAGTGAAGATGCCAGACTACCGGGTAAGTGAGGGGTGCCAGGGTGGACTTAACTGAGTGAAGATGCCAGACTACCGGGTAAGTGAGGGGTGTCAGGGTGGACTTAACTGAGTGAAGATGCCAGACTACCGGGTAATTGAGGGGTGCCAGGGTGGACTTAACTGAGGGAAGATGCCAGACTACCGGTAAGTGAGGGGTGCCAGGGTGGACTTATCTGAGTGAAGATGCCAGAGTACTTAAGCTTTAAAGGGCAAGATGCCAAACTTCAGGATAAATGTAAGGCATGTGAGGTCAGAGGTCAGATTACAATTATATTTTACAGTTGTAAAGGGAAATGCAAACATATTCTTCCCTTAAAAATATACCTTAAAATTGTACAGTTTTAGAATTTTTAACATCTATTCCAGCACTGGCACATTCCTTTGGGTCGGCGGTTCCGTTCTCTCAAGGTGTGGTTTGTTCTCCGGATGTACGGCGTGAAGGGTCTCCAGGACATTATCAGGAAGGTGGGTACGGCAGGCTACACTTACTGTTCTACATGGTATCTGTTTGATTGACATCTTAGATATTGAAGGGACGGTGGGGTAGCCTAGTGGTTAAAGCTTTGGATCGTCACGCCGAAGACCCGGGTTCGAATCCCCACATGGGTACAATGTGTGAAGCCCATTTCTGGTGTCCCCTGCATTGATGTTGCTGGAATATTGCTAAAAGCGGGCGTAAAAAGCCAAACTCAGTCAGTCAGTCATTCAGCTCTCTTTTTGCTCACCTCCAATCACCCTCACTCAACTCAGCTCTCCTCTCTAATCACCCTTGCTTGATGCAACTCCTTTTACTGATTGCTTCTCACCGAATCATCCCTAACCACATTATCTCTTTTCAGGATAAAAGACAAGAGATTAGTTAGTGAAGCATTTGATGTTGATCCCTTTGTATCTGAAACATGAAATCAGGGGAAGATGCCAGACTACCGGGTAAGTGAGGGGTGCCAGGGTGGACTTAACTGAGTGAAGATGCCAGACTACCGGGTAAGTGAGGGGTGCCAGGGTGGACTTAACTGAGGGAAGATGCCAGACTACCGGGTAAGTGAGGGGTGCCAGGGTGGACTTAACTGAGGGAAGATGCCAGACTACCGGGTAAGTGAGGGGTGCCAGGGTGGACTTAACTGAGGGAAGATGCCAGACTACCGGGTAAGTGAGGGGTGTCAGGGTGGACTTATCTGAGTGAAGATGCCAGAGACTACCGGGTAAGTGAGGGGTGTCAGGGTGGACTTAACTGAGGGAAGATGCCAGACTACCGGGTAAGTGAGGGGTGCCAGGGTGGACTTATCTGAGTGAAGATGCCAGACTACCGGGTAAGTTGAGGGGTGCCAGGGTGGACTTATCTGAGTGAAGATGCCAGACTACCGGGTAATTGAGGGGTGCCAGGGTGGACTTAACTGAGTGAAGATGCCAGACTACCGGGTAATTGAGGGGTGCCAGGGTGGACTTATCTGAGGGAAGATGCCAGACTACCAGGTAAGTGAGGGGTGCCAGGGTGGACTTATCTGAGGGAAGATGCCAGAGTACTGAATAAATAGTAGGGTGTCAGGGTAAACTGCAATTACGCCAAAGGGCAAGATGCCAAACTTCAGGATAAATGTAAGGCATGTGAGGTCAGAGGTCAGATTACAATTATATTTTACAGTTGTAAAGGGAAATGCAAACATATTCTTCCCTTAAAAATATACCTTAAAATTGTACAGTTTTAGAATTTTTAACATCTATTCCAGCACTGGCACATTCCTTTGGGTCGGCGGTTCCGTTCTCTCAAGGTGTGGTTTGTTCTCCGGATGTACGGCGTGAAGGGTCTCCAGGACATTATCAGGAAGGTGGGTACGGCAGGCTACACTTACTGTTCTACATGGTATCTGTTTGATTGACATCTTAGATATTGAAGGGACGGTGGGGTAGCCTAGTGGTTAAAGCTTTGGATCGTCACGCCGAAGACCCGGGTTCGAATCCCCACATGGGTACAATGTGTGAAGCCCATTTCTGGTGTCCCTTGCCGTGATGTTGCTGGAATATTGCTAAAAGCGGCGTAAAACCAAACTCAGTCAGTCAGTCTTAGAAATTGAAGGGATGGTGAGGTAGCCTAGTGGTTAAAGCGTTCAAAGAATGTTCAATAATAATGCAACATGGGTTTTAGTGTCAGATGAGTCTTGCTGAATCAGCACTATTCCCATGCTTATGAGTGTCAGAAAGGGTAGGCATCTCTGGCCTTAGCTTACATTCCTCTCTACAACTGAAACACTGTACACTCGGTATAAAATCCCAGAGCAAGCAATACCTGGACACTGTCTGTTCTCAGTGGTGTCAGTGTCCCTCAGATAACACTACCTGTGTGTAGATTAGTGGTGGTGTCATTAATTGAAATAATCGAAGATTGGTCGTAATGACTGAACGACCAAGCAATCGATCGTTTTTTCTCATAATCAAACACGAACAATTCTGGAACACTTGTTTGCATTAACAATATTTTTTCACAAGGTTGGTTTTGTCGGTTACATTACATAAGCACTACAAGCTCGTTCCAGTCATGACTGAATTTATCTTAAAGACTGCAAGAAATTTATGTTCCTAACATACTAGTCATCCTTTAAAGATGTGAAATTTGAAAATGCATTTTGAGCAGTTTTGCAAATAAACCCCGAAGAACTCCATGTTCCTTCTTTTTTTTGTGTGTGTTAACAAAAATTACCAGCAAAATATCAATAATGACGCTAACCAATTATTTTCGATGATTGATTGGTTGTAATGAACCAATTATCAATTATGAGATTTTAAACAGTTCCCAACACTAGTGAAGATGCGTGTATTTGTGTTACCAGGATGTACAGCTGGCCCACGAGTTTGAGTCATTTGTGAAAGCTGACAGCAGATTTGAGGTTGTCCAGGACGTGGTGTTGGCGCTGGTCTGCTTCAGACTCAAGGTAAGGAGAAAACGGCCAACCTCTCCATGTGATGTAGCCTTTATTACATACAGGGGCGGTGGGGCAGCCTAGTGGTTAAAGCGTTCGCTCGTCACGCCGATGACCTGGGTTCGATTCCCCACATGGGTACAATGTGTGAAGCCCATTTCCGGTGTCCCCCGCAGTGATATTGCTGGAATATTGCTAAAAGCGGCGTAAAACCATACTCACTCACTCACTCACTCTATTACATACATCCATCCTTTCTGAATCAACCAAGTCTTGGTATATACTCCAAACATGTGTGTGTTCTTAGAGCTTGCTGATGCATTGTTTACGTTGCGCTTTAAAAGGACTATTAATATTTGAGTATGAACCTCATCATTATCTGTGTACTACATTTCACAGTCTATTTTTCCGTCCTGAATCAGGCTTAATGGTTTTCAGTTAAATGCAGTGTCAAATCCAACTCACTCACTCACTCACTCACTCACTCACTCACCACTCACTCACTCACTCACTCATTCTAACTACTATCCTATTTGGGGCGGTGGGTTAGCAAAGTGATTAAGACATTTGCTTGTCACGTAGAAGTCATGGGTTCAATTCCTCTTGTGCGTACAATGTGTGAAGCCCATTTCTGGTGCTGGAATATATGTAGCACTGGAAAAGTGGCGTTAAACCGTCCTAATTCACTCTGTATCAAGAAGTGCTGTTATTCTTATAGAATCTATTGTGTTACAGGGAGAGAACTCCATCAATGAAAAGTTGCTGAAAGACATCAACGATGACGGACGTATACATCTTGTTCCCTCCCAGATGAGGAAGACGTACTTCCTGAGATTTGCTGTGTGTGCGTCTCGAACCAACTCAGATGATGTCAAGTTAGCATGGAAAGTCATCAATGAACTGGCTACAAAATTGCAAAAATGAAGACACAATAACTGACTGATTTGGATGAAAAGTATTTTGGGGGCTTGGTGAGGAGGCTGATGAAGAAGACTGATGTAGAGGAGGGTTTTTATGAGGTTGATTCTAAGGTGTTTGTCAAGAGGTTTATAGAGGAAGTGGTCAGGTCTTTAAGGAGTTTCTCAAGAGATTTATTAGGGAGGATTTGTAAAGGAGTTTGTCAGGAGGCTAATCGAAGAGGTTGTAAACAGGCTTTATAGAGGAGGTTGTCGGGAGGCTTTTAGAAGAAGTTGTTAAAAGGATCATAGAGGAGATGGTCAAAGGGTTCAAGAAGGAGGTTGTCAGGAGGCTTACATTGGAGGTTGTCATGGATGTGGTTTGAAGAAGGTATCAGGGCTTAGACACTAGGTTGTCAGAAGGTTTATAGAGATTATTTGTAGGTTTATAATTCGAAAGTGGTCAGGGTTCACTTGTTTACTGAAGTCGTTGGGGTTTATTGAGGAGGTTGTCAGGGTGCATATATGTAAGAAGTTGTCAGGAGGTTTATATGAGGAGGTTGTCAGGAGATGTATATGAGGAGGTTGTCAGGGGGTTTATATGAGGAGGTTGTCAGGAGGTTTTTATGAGGAGGTTCTCAGGAGGTTTTTATGAGGAGGTCAGGGGGTTTATATGAGGAGGTTGTCAGGAGGTGTATATGAGGAAGTTATCAGGAGGTTTATATGAGGAGGTTGTCAGGAGATGTATATGAGGAGGTTGTCAGAAGGTTTATATGAGGAGGTTGTCAGGGGGTTTATATGAGGAGGTTGTCAGGAGGTTTATATGAGGAGGTTGTCAGGGGTTTATATGAGGAGGAGGTTGTCAGGGGTTTTATATGAGGAGGCTTATCAGGAGGTTGTCAGGAGGGTCAGGAGGTTTATATGAGGAGGTTGTCAGGAGGAGGGTTTTATATGAGGAGGTTGTCAGGAGGTTTATATGAGAGGTTGTCAGGGGGTTTATATGAAGAGGTTGTCAGGGGGTTTATATGAGGGAGGTTGTCAGGGGTTTATATGAGGGAGGGATGAGGTTGTCAGGAGGTTTATATCAGGAGGTTGTCAGGAGGTTTATATGAGGAGGTTGTCAGGACATGCATATGAGGAGGTTGTCAGGGTGGTTTATATGAGGAGGATGTCGGGAGGTTTATATGAGGAGGTTGTCAGGGGGTTTATATGAAGAGGTTGTCAGGGGTTTATATGAGGAGGTTGTCAGGGGTTTATATGAGGAGGATGTCAGGGATTTATTAAGGGGTTTTCAAGATTCTTTTGCATTGGTTCTTGCAGTAACATATGAGCTTCCTGATCTGATACGGTTTCATTTCTTTATTCATCTCAATTCGGAAATTTCCTCTTGACTAAAGACTATCACTACAGAACACAAATATACAGATTTACCCTTGATAGTTCAATCTGACTTGGAACTCAGAAACAAGACAATGTATAAAATATTCACAACAATGTAATTGTGTGGCTCTTTGTTTTTGCTGGGCAGTGGGGTAGCCTAATGGTTAAAGCGTTGGCTCGTCACGCCGAAGACCCGGGTTTGAATCCCCACATGGGCACAATGTGTGAAGCCCATTTCTGGTGTCCCCTGCCGTGATGTTGCTGGAATATTGCTAAAAGCGGCGTAAAACCAAACTCAGTCAGTCAGTCAGTCTTTGTTTTTTGCATTCAGAAGTGTCTGATTACATTCAATTTAGGAATATGCTTGTATAAATGTTTGAATTGCTCATCCCAAGAATTTGGAAACATGGATCCTGCCTTGATCTCTTATGGATCTTGACAAACAAATATGGCATCAGAATGCAATAATATATTTGTAATAAAATCACCCCCTGTGAAATAAATTACATCATCAGGGTGTACAACTGTCAGTTTCAAACATATATGTATCTGGCAATATCTAAACATACTTGTAATAATAATAATAATAATAGTAGTAAATTTGCATTGCGCTTTTTCCATACTTGGATATTATGCTCAAAGCACAGTGAGGATTCTGAATTTATTGAAAAAAAAACACAAAGAAAAAAAACATACATCTAAAAGAATAATTGCATTTTGAACCAAACTGCCTTAAATTTTAGTGCTAAAAAAACGTTAAAATATTCAGTGAATATTTGTTGCGGAATTGATTCAGCCTTCCTAACGTAATGCATTCTAATTTCACACATGAATGCAGGTCTTGTTCCACATGACTGCCATCGTAATTTGCTGATATAGAATCAATTGTTGAATAATACACACCTATTTCGGTCTTGATCAGTAGTAAGTTGGCTTGATGGAATTGTATGGGTTATAATAAAACAATTTTAAAAATCAATTCAGTATCTGATGCTGAATTTGACTTCTGTGCTTAATGTTAAAGGGTTTTATAAAACGATCTGGTTGAAATATAATCGGAATGAATTTTTAAAATTTTTAATTTGTCAAACTGATGTATTCTTAATGCAGAAAATGCTTGTTAATCCAGTCCTATATTTTGAGGAAACCCTGTTCATCCTGACCCGACTGATCTGGAAACTCTGTTAATCCAGCTAATGTATCATGAATCCCAGATACTCTTAAACTGGTTTATCTAGAAACCCTGTTAATCCGGACCTGATTGATCTGGAAACCTGTTCATCCTAACCCAATTTATCATGAAACCCAGTTAGCCTTAAACTGATTTATCTAGAAACCCTGTTAATCCAGACCTGATTGATCTGGAAACCCTGTTAATCCAGCTAATTTATCATGAATCCCAGTTAGCCTTAAACTGATTTATCTAGAAACCCTTTTAATCTGGACCTGATTAATCTAGAAACCCTGTTGATCCAGACCTGATTGATCTAGAAACCCTGTTGATCCAGAAACCCTGTCGATCCAGACCTGATTGATCTAGAAACCCTGTTAATCCGGACCTGATTGATTTTGAAACCCTGTTAATCCAGACCAGATTTATAAAGAAAACCCTGTTATTCCTGAAGTACATGTTCTTGAGTCTAATGCAGGACTGGAGCCCGGGGAAGCTGCCAGAATCTTCACCTGATTTGCGACCTGAGCAATCGGTCCACACAGGACCACACAGGACCGAATAAGACCAAATAGGACCAAACAGGACTACATGTAAAAATGAACAATCAGTGGGGTGTTATAACAAATTTGATACTGTTGAAATTGATCAGATGCTTTTGTAGCTCAGCTTGCCTTTCCTGAAAGAAGTCCACATAAGGAACAGGCTATATAGATGTATATCCCTTTAGTTGACAGCCCATGTTCACAATTTCCTTTTAAAGTTTGTTTAAAAAGTTAACATCTTCAAAACATGTATGAAAACCATATAAATATTTTTGTGGCCTCAAACTTGTAAATGAGGCTCTCGTGTATCTTTCTTAAATCATCTGAAACCAACTCACTCACTCCATGTGCTCACTTGTCAAATGTTTGACATCAAATCTGTTACTGGTCAGCAAGTGTGTACCCAGACTGTTATTACAATGTATTCATATACTGCGTTACCATGGTGATGTAGGTTTCAAGGGTGATAGTATTTATATAGTTGTTGTTTGGGACATAGAATATGCGTGTTGTTATGTTGTTCTTTGTATGACAGAGGTGGTGGGAGATTAAAACATATACTGGTAAAAATGTATACTCTTCAAAAAATTAATTTGAGTTTGAAATGTCTTCAAAACAGCACTACGCTCAAAACAGTTGTCCAATCACTACAAGGTTAAGGTGAAAAAGCCCCAAACAAAAATGATACCCAAATCAGAAGACTGACATTTCCTCCAAGAAATAAAGTTGATATATATTAAAATATATGAATTTTATCTCCAAAGAGTAATCCAAAAGGGGCCTAGGACAACTAGAGTAGAGCCAATCTTGACTTTCCCAATCATTCTTAAGTGGGTAACCTGGGTTAAAGCGCCCATCATGCTTAAGACCTGGGTTCGATTCTCCACTTGGGTACAATGTGTGAAGCCCATTTCTGGTGTCCCCCAGCCGTGATATTGCTGGAATATTGCTACAAGTAATGTAAAACTATGCTCACTCACTCACTCACTAGACTTGAGCTGGTCCACTTTTTTAATCTATTCTCTAGGGTCTGAGAGACAGACCGCCAAATCAAATATACCATCATCCAGTAATTTCTTGTTTGTATAGGGATGATGAGATAGCCTAGTGTTTAAAGCGTCCGCCTGTCACTGTGATTCCCCACATGGGCGCAATGTGTGAAGCCCATTCCTGGTGTCCCCAGCTGTGATATTGCTGGAATATTGCTAAAACCAGCGTAAAACTCGACTCACTCACTCGTTTGTTTCATTTTCAGCCACCAGTGGACATGTGTTTATGCTTTCCTTTGCCAAGCGGTTTAGGTATATATTGTTATTAGGAGAGCCACTCAAGTTGCTAGTCTGTGATAAACATGTAATATTTGTTGACAGAATATAACAATAAACTTATATTGAGAATTGTATATGTTTGTTATATTAAGATTGGGATATATATTAAGATTGTGACGTCTTGATGGTTGGCTGGTTTGTGGCAACACTCAGCAGTATTCCAGCTATGGGGCGGCGGTCTAAAAATAATCGAGTCTGGACCAGACAATCCAGTGATTAACAGCATGAGCATCGATTTACACAATTGGGATACCATGACATGTTTCAACAAAGTCAGCGAGACAGACCACCCATCCCTTTAGACGCCTGTTAGGATAAGCATGGGTTGCTGTAGACCAATTCTAACCCAGATCTTCACGGGTCAGCTTGTACAAGACCCAACTGACCAATTCTACCAAGGAAGTGAGCAAGAAGTGTTGGGGTTGGATTTGTGCTCAGGATGTCCAGTATGACAACCTTGCTCTTTGTTAGGCTTAAAAGATTTAGTGAGGTGTGGTGAAATCGGGTTTAAGGTTTAAGATTATTTCGCATGCGCGTACAGGGATGTGTGGCTGTTGGTTTTATAGTGCTAGCGCACTGAGATGCCATGCCGCAGTGAAGCATGAATGCCCCACTCAGACACATTATACTGACTCCGAGCCGACCAGTCCTTGTTGTACCCATTAATGCCGAGTGCCAGGCAGGGACAAACAAGTACCTTATTTTAACTTCTTTTGGTATGACTCGGCTGGGGATTGAACGCTTAAACCACTACACCATGGAGGCGGTTCTACCAAGTACAAGACAGTTTATCTTCAACCCATGTCCCATCGAGACCAGTGAACAACTTATAATATCAGATCCTATATGAGCTACAGTCATGTGCATTAACATTAGATTTATGAACCTGATCACTTTCAAGAAATTCTTATGTGACCGGATTGTCTAAAATGCTGCAATTCACTCTTAAGAGTTACGTCCCTTAGTTACACCAGAAACCGATCATCGCTTGTACGAATCCTGTTTCTTCACGATTATGTTTCTTTGTGTGTTAGGGAAACTATTTCAAAATGTGGAAATGAATAAAATGAGTTCCGGGCTCGTACAAACAGTCATGTTCTATGGCTTCACATAAATACGACCCAGGGTAGAATAGGTCTTTAGCAACCCATGTGCTTGCCATAAAAGGCGACTATGCTTGTCGTAAGAGGCGACTAGCGGGATCGGGTGGTCAGTTTCGCTGACCTGGTTGACACATGTCATCGGTTCCCAATTGCGCAGATCGATGCTCATGCTGTTGATCACTGGATTGTCTGGTCCAGATTCGATATTTCACAGACCGCCGCCATATAGCTGGGATATTGCTGAGTGCGGCGTAAAACTAAACTCACTCACATGAATACATCGAGGTTTGGTGCAATTAGCTGTGCAGCGTTGTGGCCCATATCTGTTCCAGGATTCTCGGCTTCGAATACCAGCGTTGCTCTGATTATGAACCTTGGAATGTCAGCAGAACGTTGGATTCTGTCAGGCTTTACAGACGCAGCTCTGCACGTCATCTTGTGCTGCAATGGGTCTTTGGGCCGCCCGTGTGGAAGTCATGAACTGTCCATAAGAATCTGAAGACTTAATAACAAAACGGATACCCTGGTTAAAATTATTCATAGGGTGGTAGCCAGCCGTGATGTTGCTGGAATATTGCTAAAAGCGGCGTAAAACTGAGCTCACTTACTCAAAGTTGGGTCACCGGTCATCCACAAGGGACATTTAAACAATATACAGCTGTCTTCGTCATTGGCACATGTTGAATAAATCTGGAAATACGGACAAACAACCCCAGACGTGCATTTGATTGAACTTGCTTAAATTGCGAACGCTTATGAAATATTTTTCAAAGTCTCTATAGTATCTCTTACCAAGCTGAAAGGGCATTTGGGCTACACGTGTTGAGCGACCTGTTAATTTCTCGACGTTGGATCAAAACATTTCTGTTCGCTCTATAAAGCAGGAGCGGTGGGGTAGCCTAGTGGTTAAAGCGTTCTCTCGTCACGCTGAAGACCCGGGTTCGATTCCCCATATGGGTACATTGTATGAAGCCCATTTCTGGTGTCCCCCGCCGTGATATTGCTGGAATATTTCTAAAAGCGGCGTAAAACCATGCTCACTCACTAGACTTGAGCAGCACCACTTATTTAATTTATTCTCAAGGGTCTGAGAGACCATCTAATATACCATCATCCAGTAATTTCTTGTTTGTTTTGGGCTGAGGGGTACCCTAGTGATTAAAGCGTTCGCCCATCACGCCGGAGGCACGGGTGGCGTAAAACCCAACTCACTCACTCACTCTTATAAGCAATACGAGGGAAATTAGTAACTTGTTAATTATGAATAAACCGACCGACACACAAATACACCCTATGATGAACGTCTCTGCCTTTACTGCCACTCTGTTGGTTTAAACTATGTTGAAGATGAGCTCCATGTCCTACTTATCTGTGGCAAATATTCTGAAACAAGAAATAAGTGTTTCACAACCCACCAGACCCACCCTCCAACAATTGAAACCTTTGCGCGTTTAATTACTTGTAACAACATAAATTATCTAAAAGCATTAACTACATTCCTCTCGAATGTATTAAAGCTAAGAAGTAAACCCATTACTACAACTAATTGACCCTGTATTCCAATCGTTATCCTATATCCAGCACGTAAAGCGTTGGCTCGTCACGCCGAAGGTATTCTATATATTTGTTCTGGTGTCCCCCGCCGTGATATTGCTGGAATATTGCTAAAAGCGGCGTAAAACCAAACTTACTCACTCACTTTATATTTGCACTATGTTGTATTATGGGCCAATGGCCTACATTACTGAAATAAAATGTCTGTCTGTCTGAATAAATCAATAAATGTTGGTGCAAGTCGTCTTTCTGGCCGGACACGATGACAGAGGACTATGACGAGTAAGTGGTCCGGTGGGAATTCGTTGTGACAAAACAAGAGTTCCGTCAGATGGCCGTGTGGAGGCAGACTGTCTGCGGAATATACTTAAAAAAGACGCGAGGCATGATGTATATGAGATAAATTCGGGATTCGAACCCAGTACCAACGGATCACGCTTTGCCAACTTTAGCATTGCCTTAAATTGAACCTTTAACCTTAAATTCAACCTCAATTCATTCGGCTCTCGAAACTCCACTGATGAAGATGATAAAGAATGAGAATGGTGGGGTGGGGTGGGGAATGGGGTGAGAATGGTGTGTGTGGGATAAATATGGGATTCGAACCCAGTCCAAACGAATCATGCAATTCCTAGAAAAGCATTGCTGTATATTAAACCTTACTCCGGTCGTGTCCCCACTCCCCAGACCTTTCGCTTTCCCAATACCATTTTTGAAGATGAAGAGGTCGATGGTATTTCAAATGGTGAAATGGTGCAGGGGTTACCTGTATATTGGTTGAATACTGGATTTGAACCCAGCACCAAAGATTTCCGCATAGCCAAGTTAAGCCTTGCCTTAAATTAAACCTTTAGGCCATCCATGGCCCCCAAACATTTTGCTCCCCGAATTCACTGATGAAGATGAAGAGTGAGTGAGTGAGTGAGTATGGTTTTAACAATTTTACAGCAATATTACTTCGGGGGACACCAGAGATAGGCTTCACACATTGTACCCATGTGGGGAATCGAACCCGGGTCTTCAGCATGACGAGCGAACGCTTTAACCACTAGGCTACCCCACGAAGACCAGTGAACAGAGCTGCCTGGGGAGGGAAGGTCAGTGGTTTCATTCCCAGCCACATCATACCACAGACTTTACGGAACTAGACTTGCCCACCGCCCCAATGAGTGAGTTTAGTTTTGCTGTGTATTTTGGTGAACGGTTTACTCCAAGTTAGTCTGTATGTTTCACAAATTCAGGAGGCCAAATAAAAACCTTGTGTTTGAAGTTTTGATTGATTTTTGTTAAACACTTCACTCAGCTATATTCAAGAAACATGATGGCGGTCTTTAAACAATCGAGTCTGGACCAAACAATCCACTGATTGACATGTTTCAACTTACCAAGCTTATTCACTAATTATTGCTTGATTTGATGTGTTCTTTTAAATTTAATATCTTTTTGAAAATTTGTTTGGTGAGTGTGTGAGTGAGTTTAGTTTTACGCCGCACTCAACAATATTCCATCTATATGGCGGCGGTCTGTAAATAATCGAGTCTGGACCGACAATCCAGTAATCAACAGCATGAGCATCGATCTGCGCAACTGGGAACGGATGACATGTGTCAACCAAGCCAGCGAGCCTGACCACCCGATCCCGTTAGTCGCCTCTTACGACAAGCATGGGTTACTGAAGATCAATGTTCTAACCCGGAACTTCACGGGTCCGCCCCGATGAAGATGAAAATGACGATGTTATTTCAAATGATCAAATAATGCCGGGTCATGATATATCTAAATTGGTTGTATGCGTGATTCGAAGCCAGCACTCAAATGTTGCAACCCCGTCCCGCTGATGAAGATGGCGAAGATATACTGTGATGATGGAGATGATGATTGTGATGATGATGATGATGAAGTTGGTGATGATGATGAAGTTGGTGATGATGAAAATGAAGCCAAATGTTGGTTTAATATCAAACTCATGTTTTAAATATTCTGACAGAAAAGCTAAACGCACAAATGCAAGTATCATTTACACGTTTTCTCGAAACTTGTATCTTATTCCGTTCCCGATCAATTTCAAGTCTATGAAACCACGTTCATTATAGCACGGTAAACGGTCGCGCTCACAGCTGGAGATCCTAACATCGATTTCAATTTGTGTACATGATCACTGCCGTATAGACTGAGCTGTATGTAAGTTCATTCTCAATGGGTTGTAATTTGAATGCGACATATGGTGTCAACAGCTAAATTAGTCGAAGAAATACCACCGACAAGTGTAATGCATACAGCCACGTATGAGCAGGTGCGTGTCGTGTTGCTCTCACAGCGTGCCGGTAGACGCTCACGTGAAGTATTCTTTAGGCTTGGTTTAAAAGGTAAGTAGCATTATGTACGGCAATTTCAGAGAAATGTGATAATGTAATCTTATCTCGCACGTTTTGGGGTCATTTAATTGTGATATATCATACCGTTAACGTGTAATTGAGAGTAACTTTAGGGTTAACTAATTGATGTATAGTTGCTTTGACGAGTGTAATTGACTTAACTTTATATATTTCATATATAATACCCACATGGGCACAATGTGTGAAGCCCATTTATGGTGTCCCCCGCCGTGATATTGCTGGAATATTGCTAAAAGCGGCGTAAAACCCAACTCACTCACTCATATATAATACCGTTTTTATAATACCGTTAACATGTAATTGATGTGTAACTTAAATGATAATTATTTAATATGTAATACTGTTAATATAGAGGTGATGTGTAACTTTAATGTTAAATATTTAATATGTAATACTGTTAACATACAGGTGAAGTGTAAATCTAAAGCTAAATATTTTATATATAATAGCGTTAAAGTGTAATTGATTCATTTTTCAAAGACATATTATTCTCATTTCATGATGTTTGAGGTATCACGTTTCATTTTTGGGAAATAGAGACAGATCGCACTTCAGAAGCGGTGTCCAGTTCAGTGTATAAAGTTTCTCTTTCCGAAAAATATTTTGAAAATCAGTGTACATGTATTTAAATCTGTTGAGAATCAGCCATCCTTCATGTTTAAAAATATACAACACCCACGGTGAGATAAGCACAGGTTGCTGGAGGCCTATATTCTCACCCTAAATCCCCACGGTGAGATAAGCACAGGTTGCTGGAGGCCTATATTCTCACCCTAAATCCCCACGGTGAGATAAGCACAGGTTGCTGGAGGCCTATATTCTCACCCTAAATCCCCACGGTGAGTCAAGCACAGGTTGCTGGGGCCTATATTCTCACCCTAAATCCCCACGGTGAGTCAAGCAAAGGTTGCTGGGGCCTATATTCTCACCCTAAATCCCCACGGTGAGTCAAGCACAGGTTGCTGGAGGCCTATATTCTCACCCTAAATCCCCACGGTGAGTCAAGCACAGGTTGCTGGAGGCCTATATTCTCACCCTAAATCCCCACGGTGAGAAAAGCACAGGTGCCTGGGGCCTATATTCTCACCCTAAATCCCCACGGTGAGAAAAGCACAGGGTGCTGGGGGACCTATAATCTAACCCGAAAACATCTACACATGCATCATGATTTTCTTCGTTTCTCCTTACCGCCTCCGTGGTGTAGTGGTTAGAGCGTCCGCCCGGAGAGCGGAAGGTCGCGGGTTCGATTCCCGACCGCGTCATACCAATAGACGTTAAAATATGGTACTTGTTGGTCCCTGCCTGGCGCTCGGCATTAATGGGTACAACAAGGACTGGTCGGCTCGGAGTCAGTATACTGTGTCTGAGTGGGGTATTCAAGCTTCAGTGCGGTATGGTATCTCAGTGGGCTAGCACTATAAAAACCAGCTTCAGTCTCCGCTAGTACAAGCAGCCGCACATACACATACACACGCATGCATGCACGTCGTCATATGAGCGAAATATTCTCCAGCACGACGTTAAAACCCAATTTCACCTCACCTCGTTTCTCCTTGGCAAACGCGGCTCGCTTTCTGCCCGCGTACACGTGCACTTAAGACAAAGTAAGATACGAAGTAAATTGAAACCCGCCATCGACTAAACTGGAGACATCCTCAGCAACCTAGGGTGTAAAACCTCCAAAGATGTATAACATACATAATAAGACTGTTTTGCATTCCCAATCGTTAAAAAATGTGACGAGGAAGTATTGTTAGAGGCCTGGAGATGTAGATTTTATAACTGCTTCAACTATTATATATTCTGATGGATATGAAACATTTTCTGAATCAGCTGTGTTTATTTTGTTTGTTGTTTAACGCCACATTCATCAATATTCCAGCTATATGACATCGGTCTGTAAATAATCTAGTCTGGACCTGACAATCCAGTGATCAACAGAATGAGCATCTATCTACATACTTGCTGTGATTTTTGAGTATATTTTGACATTTATTTTATTATTGGGTACAAACATTAGAGATTTGGTGGATATTTCTGTTATTTGTAATTCCAAACTGATTTTATTAACTAGAGAGAGAGTGAGTGAGTTTAGTTTTACGCCGCACTCATCAATATTCCAGCTATATGGCGGCGGGCTGTATATAATCGAGTCTGGACCAGACAATCCAGTGGTCAACAGCATGAGCATCGATCTACGCGATTGGGATACGATGACATGTGTCAACCAAGTCAGCGAGCCTGACCACCCGATCCCGTTAGTCGCCTCATACGACAAGAATGGGTTACTGGAGATCAATATTCTAACCCAGACCTTCACGGGTAATATTTTCATCTAAACTGAAAACCGGTTATTTGTGCACTAAAATGAAATACACTAAATGTACTGATAGCCACAGAAGTAGTTATCAAATTTAACGAAGATAATTTATTTTAATTTTAATTATTTTTTTACGAAGAAAATTTATACAAGACTCAGCCATATTACAAATCGCGCATTATGTACAAAACAATAAATGTATGTATATGTGTGTATACAAAAATAGACTTACTAGGAAAAAAATAATTCTAGGTCATTGCTTTAAAAATGTGATTAGATTGGACCCGACTGAAGGGAGCAAACGAATTGGAATAATATTACAAAATATATTTGATATATAGAATGAAAATATGACAATAATACTTAACGGCTAAAATATAAATATTTGGTGAACTAAATCGCATATTCGTGACAATTAAAGTGACGAAACCAGAATGCATGACTGCTCAATATTATAGTTAATAGACCATTGTCACATAATGTAGACATGAAATTTCACCAGACTGTCGTCATTTGGCGGCAAGTGCTACGTGTCATTCAGATACTATGTTCTCTACAACTGTCGATAGCCAATTAAACAACGTGAAGACAACTTTAACCAGTCAACTCAGGCCACGCATACAAACAGCGCAGTATATATTTATAGCTGTTATATTCTCCAAACTACACCTGTAATAGCAGCTCCTACCTGCTGTGGAAACGTCCAAGCTGATGCCGCACGATCGAACAATTTCCAGCATAGATACGCTCAAGCTATTCGGTAACCATACTATCGTTTCATTCATAACGCCGGTGAGCTATTTTTAACTCGGTATTTCATTGGCTGACCAAATCAATACCATGATAAGAAGGATCGAGTTGGAAACGGAACGAATAATTGTCACAAATGAATTCTGATTATGAGAATTCATTTCAATGGGCTATATGTAACAGTTATGGCATGGATTTTGAAGAGAGGTGGGAATGGTGCTATGGTATACGTAGTTGAAAAAGCTGTAGTAATAATAGTAGTTATATAGTAACAGGATAGTATATAGTGTAGTGTAGTGTAGTGTAGTGTAGTGTAGTGTAGTGTAGTGTAGTGTAGTGTAGTGTATAGTATAGTAGGTGAGGTGAGGTGAGGTGAGGTGAAATTTAACGTTGTGCTTGAGAATATTTCGCTCATATTACGACGTGCAATTCGTGTGTATGTGTATATGCGGCTGGTTGTAATAGCCCAGACTTAAGCTGGTTTTGTAGTGCTAGCCCACTGAGATACCATGCCACAGTGAAGCATGAATACCCCACTCAGACACATTATACTGACTCCGAGCCGACCAGTCCTTGTTGTACCCATTAATGCCGACCGCCAGGCAGGGACCAACAAGAACCATATTTTAACGTCTTTTGGTATGACGCGGTCGGGGATCGAACCCGCGACCTTCCGCTCTCCGGGCGGACGCTCTAACCACTACACCACGGAGGCGGTCTTCAGTATAGTATAGTATATATAGTAGTAGTAGAAGTAGTGATGGTAGTAGTTGTTGTAGTAGTAGCAGCGGTGGTGGTGATGGTGGAAGTAGTAGTAGTAGTAGTAGTAGTAGTAGTAGTAGTAGTAGTAGTAGTAGTAGCTTCTGTAATCGATGTAGAAGTAGTAATTTGTTTTAGCAATATAGCGTTTCTTCATTAATAAGTTTTCATTGATTTATTACGCACAGGCCATCAGACACAGCCAACCGACTGGGTGATACATGGTGTCACGTATAACAGAGCGATCCACTGTGTGACAGAAAGACAAGCAAACATCGTGACACGGAACTAAGCAACGTCACATACAACAGATTTGTACCCTCCGTCACGTTCAACAAACGGGGCAGATACTGTTATCGTACAGCAGAACGATACCCGTGTCACGTCGTGCTCTAATACACGGTCATTGTCACGGCACAAAGTCAAACCGTACCACCATATACACAGAAACATGGGGACGATACCAACATACGTCATCCTGTTGCTAATGGCAACATGTAGGAACGCACAATCGGAGGACAATGAGCCGAAAGTTGAGAACTTCGGAACTGTGATCGGAATAGATCTGGGAACAACCTACTCCTGGTCAGTACATAAGTGGCAATTGGCATATAATATTTACTTACATTTGTTGTATGTTATCTTGCGGTAGGTCCGTGATTAAAGCGTTCGCTCGACACGCCTAAAACCCGGGTTCGATTCCCACTTAGTGTGTGGGGTTTTACTCCGCTTTTAGCAATATTCCAGCAAGATTATGGCGGAGGATACCAAAGAGGGGCAGCAGTATTTGGAACAGCTGTGGTAGTAGCAGTAGTAGTAGTAGCAGTAGCAGTAGTAGTAGTAGTAGTAGTAGTAGTAGCAGCTGTAATAGAAGCATTAGCCAAACTCACTCATCTATCTTTATGCTTCGATGTTGATTAACAGTTTATCTGTCTACCCTTAACGTACCTGCCTGGCGCTCGGCATTAATGGGTACAGCATGGACTGGTCGGCTCGGAGTCAGTATAATGTGTCTGAGTGGGGTATTTATGATTAACTGCAGCATGTTATCTTAGTGAGCTAGCACTATAAAACCAGCTTAAGTCTGGGCTGGTACAAGCAGCCACTCGTACACACGTATGCACGTCGTCATATGAGCGAAATATCCTTAAGTACGACGTTAAACCCCATTTCACCTCACCTCACCTCACCTGTCCTTAACGCGTATCCTCAATCACTGTGTTGGGGTAACAATATACTCTCGATGTATGGTAACGACGACAGCTATATGCCGAGTAGAAAGGCATGTTTTAGACACAGAAGGTGACACCAACGCCGGTCCAGTTTCGTCCCAGGTGGGGCGTTGGGCTAGCCTAGTGTTTAAAACGTCCGCTCGTCACGTCGAAGACCCGGGTTCGATTCCCCATATGGGTACAATGTGTGAAGCACACTTCTGGTGTCCCCCGCCGTGATATTGCCGGAATATTGCGAAAAGCGGCGTAAAACTAAAACTCACTCACTCGTCCCAGTTTGGAAGATTCCACAGGTCTGGATTTATGCAAAAACATTTATGCTTTGGGGTGATACCGAGTCTTCAGTTATATTGTTTCGTGTTTCAGCGTGGGGGTGTACCGGAGAGGCCGTGTGGAGATCATCCCCAATGAACAGGGGAACAGAATCACCCCTCCTACGTAGCGTTCACTCCGGATGGGGAGAGGCTGATAGGAGACGCCGCAAAGAACCAACTGACCACAAACCCCGAGAACACCATCTTTGACGTCAAACGTCTGATTGGACGTCCCTGGAATGACAAGTCTGTGCAGCATGATATACAGTATTATCCGTTCAAGGTGATTATTTCATCATCCAAGTGGAATGACGTGGAAGCTGCACCTCTATGGATTTGAGTGTTTCGTTAAGTGCCCACCATGAAGGGGTTGTGATTTTGCGTGAGTGAGTGAGTGAGTGACTGAGTGAGAGACTGAGTTATAGAGTGGTTAAGTGGATGAGTTGAGTGGTTGAGTGAGTGAGGAGTTATAGAGTGGGTGGATGAGCGGGAGTCGGTGGTGGATAAGTGAGAGATGAGTAGTTTGGTTGAGTGAGAGAGGTTGAGTGGATGAGCGGGTGAGTGAGTGGAGTGGAGTGAGAGGTTGAGTGGTTAGTAGAGTGGGTGAGAGACTGAGTTATAAGTGGGTGGATGAGTGGATGAGTCGTGAGTCGGTGGTTAAGTGGATGGTTGAGAGGTTGAGTGAGTGAGTGAGAGTCAATGATTAATTTCATTAACAATATTCTTCATGAGTGACAACAGTTTGTCTATATTTTTCTTACATGAGTGGGTGGTTGAGTGGTTCAGAGCTTGAATGGTTGAGTGAGTGAGTGAGTGAGTGGTTGAGTGAGTGAGTGGTTGAGTGAGAGGATGAGTAGTGAATGATTAATTTCATTAACAGTCTTCTGCAAAATCAGTCGATATATTCTTACATGAGTGGGTGGTTGAGTAGTGGAATAGTTGAGAAGTTGAGTGAATGAGTGGTTGAGTTTGTGGTTGAGTGAGTGAGTGAGTGATTAATTTCATCAACAATATTCTGCCAAAATGACAACAGGCTCTTTACTTTTGTCTTTAGTGGTACGTGGTGGTTAACCGGAATGTCATGGCACAATATATATGGCTGGAATCAGAGTTTATAATACGGATGTTATCAGTTGGATATTTAGAAGTTTATTTATATGTTTATCAAGGTAGTATGCAGTTTATGGGTTGGGTTTATGGTTCATTTGTATTGACAGGTAAAACAGTTATTCATCAGATAATATGTAACAGATCCAGGTTAAAGTTTTGTCAAAGAAGAATACATGTTTATCCACCAGGTAATAAACAAGGGATTGAGGTTAAGGTTTGGTCAAAGAAGAACACATGTTTATCCACCAGGTAATAAACAAGAGATTCAGGTAAAGGTTTTGTCAAAGAAGAACACATGTTTATCCACCAGGTAATAAACAAGAGATTCAGGTAAAGGTTTTGTCAAAGAAGAATACATGTTTATCCACCAGGTAATAAACAAGAGATTCAGGTAAAGGTTTGGTCAAAGAAGAACACATGTTTATCCACCAGGTAATAAACAAGAGATTCAGGTAAAGGTTTGGTCAAAGAAGAACACATGTTTATCCACCAGGTAATAAAGAAGGAAAACAAACCATACGTCAAGGTTAGAGTTGGGTCAGAGGACAAGGTGTTCGCTCCCGAGGAGATCTCGGCGATGGTGTTGTCAAAGATGAAGGAGATAGCAGAGACGTACCTGGGCAAGAACGTCACCCACGCTGTCGTCACCGTCCCCGCCTACTTCAACGACGCCCAGAGGAGAGCAACCAAAGACGCCGGCACCATCGCTGGACTCACCGTCCTCCGTCTGATCAACGAACCGTACGTGAAAAGTTTTCACATTGAGTGACTGGGTTCAGTTTTACGCCGCACTCAGCAATATTCCAGCTATTTGGCGGCGATCTGTAAATAATCGAGTCTAGACCTGATAATCCAGTGATCAACAGCATGAGCATCGACCTAGGCAGTTGGGATACGACATGTGTCAACCAAATCAGCGAGCTTGACCACCCGATCCCGTTAGTCGCCTCTTACGACAAGAATAGGTTACTGAAGATCAATTCTAACCCGGATCCTCTCGGGTTGTTTTCACATTAATATTGTACAAAGCTGTCTCTTGACTGTACACGTTAATAAGATGCTGCTGCTGCTGGTGCCGCGGCTGCGGCTGGTTCTGTTGCTGGTGTTGATGCTGTTGCTGCTGATGGTGATGGTGAAGATGACGGTGATGCTTTTGCTGTTGCTGATGCTGATGCTGTTGCTGCTGATGGTGACGGTGATTGTGATGGTGATGTTGATGCTGTTGCTGATGCTGATGCAGATGCTGATGCTGCTGATGGTGATGGGAAGATGATGGTGATGCTGTTGCTGTTGCTGATGCTGATGCTGTTGCTGCTGATGGTGACGGTGATTGTGATGGTGATGGTGATGGTGATGTTGATGCTGTTGCTGATGCTGATGCTGATGCTGACGCTGCTGCTGCTGCTGCTGCAGATACTGTTGCCGATGTTGCTGCTGATGGCGATGGTGTTGCTGCTGCTGCTGATGCTGACGCTGCTGCTGCTGCTGCAGATGCCGTTGCTGATGTTGATGTTGATGGCGATGCTGTTGCTGCTGTTGTTGATGCTGATTAGTTGATGCTAACAGAAATATTCGATGTTTCAGAACTGCTGCTTCTATAGCTTACGGCCTTGACAAGTCCGACGGTGAAAAGAACATTCTGGTGTTTGACTTGGGAGGGGGAACGTTTGACGTGTCAATCCTTACAATCGACCATGGCGTGTTTGAGGTGGTGGCCACCAATGGAGACACACATCTAGGTAAATTCTTACCTTGCATAAAATATATTTAATGTCAAAGATGATATCGTGACAAAATGATCCCATTTATACCGCAGTTGCAATTTCGACAGTCCCATCAAAGCTATTTTAAATCGCATTACACTGGGCTGTTTTACTCATTAAAGTTTAACTTTGAGTATATAACATTGTCTCAATATATGGTTACATCTATTACTGAGGGGTGGTGGGGTAGCCTTATGGTTATTCAGGGATCATTACACTGGCGCTGGATGAGATACAGTGATTATTGCACTGGAGCTAGATCGTATAGATTGGGATTATTACACTGTGTTGGGTCATATACAGGGATTATTACTCTGGTACTAGGTCATGTATAGGTATTATGAGTGTCAGCAGGGATATATAGAAAGATTATTTCACTGCTGGGTTAGATGCAGGGATTACTTCACTGGTGCTGGGCATATACAGGAATTACTACACCATGGTATACAAGGATTAATGCACTGGTACTAGTTTATATTAGGGATTACACGACTGTGCTGGGTTATTTAAGAGATTATTTCACTTAGGCTGTCACAGAGGCACTGAAACAAATATATCCAAGAAAGATTATGTAGCACGTCTAGATTTCCAAAGTCTGTGGGCTCCTTTTTATTATATTTTATGATTATCATTTAGGAACTGTTTCTGTAAAATATGTTCATTTCAGAGACTAGATGTTAGTCTATATTTGTCTGTGCTGGGTCGAATACAGGGATTATTGCACTGGTACTAGTTCATGTGCAGGAATTACTACACCATCCTTGATGGTATACAGGGATTATTGCACTGGTACTAGTTCATGTATAGGGATTACTACACCATCCTTGATGGTATACAGGGATTATTGCACTGGTACTGGGTCATATGCAGGAATTACTACACCATCCTTGATGGTATACAGGGATTATTGCACTGGTACTGGGTCATATGCAGGAATTACTACACCATCCTTGATGGTATACAGGGATTATTGCACTGGTACTGGGTCATATGCAGGAATTACTACACCATCCTTGATGGTATACAGGGATTATTGCACTGGTACTGGGTCATATGCAGGAATTACTACACCATCCTTGATGGTATACAGGGATTATTGCACTGGTACTGGGTCATATGCAGGAATTACTACACCATCCTTGATGGTATACAGGGATTATTGCACTGGTACTAGGTCATGTGCAGGAATTACTACACCATCCTTGATGGTATACAGGGATTATTTCACTTTTACTGGGTCATATGCAGGAATTACTACACCATCTTGATGGTATACAGGGATTATTGCACTGGTACTAGGTCATGTGCAGGAATTACTACACCATCCTTGATGGTATACAGGGATTATTGCACTGGTACTAGGTCATGTATAGGGATTACTACACCATCCTTGATGGTATACAGGGATTATTGCACTGGTACTAGGTCATCTGCAGGAATTACTACACCATCCTTGATGATATACAGGGATTATTGCACTGGTACTAGTTCATGTATAGGGATTACTACACCACCCTTGATGGTATACAGGGATTATTGCACTGGTACTAGTTCATGTATAGGGATTACAAGACTGTCCTGGGTTATATAAAGAAATCATTTCACTGTGCTTGGTCATACACACAGGGATTTCTACACTGGCGTTAGATCATACAGATGAACTATTATTCTGATGCTAATGCTATTGTTGTGTGTTTTAACCAGGATCTGTTTAAATCGACTCTGAAACCCGTGAGGTCGGCCCTTGAGGATGGGAGCCTGAAGGTGTCGGACATCCAGGACATCGTTCTGGTCGGCGGCTCCACCAGGATTCCAAAGATTCAGCAGCTGGTGAAGGAGTTCTTTAGTGGAAGGGTGCGTTCCATTAACACATCTTAGGAGTGACCATGAACACGACTGACCAAGCACTCCCTGACATGTTTAGTTGACCAAGTTTTGCTAGGTTGGATTGTTGTTTGACGCCGCACTCAGCAATATTCCAGCTATATGGCGGCGGTCTGTAAATAATCGATATTCACTTTTTTCTCTTGACTATCTCAAGAATCTTGTATTCCAGGAGACCCGTGAAGATCCGGGGTAGAATAGGTCTTCAGCAATCCATGCTTGCCACAAAAGGCGACTATGCTTGTCGTAAGAGGCGACTAATGGTATCGGGTGGTCAGGCACGCTGACTTGGTTGACACATGTCATCGGTTCCCAATTGCGCAGATGGATGCTGATGCTGTTGATCGCTGGATTGCCTGGTCCAGACTCGATTATTTACAGACCGCCGCCATATAGCTGGAATATTGCTGAGTGCGGCGCAAAACTAAACTCACTCACTCACTCACTCACTCACTGTATTCCAGGAACCTACAAGGGGCATCAACCCAGACGAGGCTATAGCCTACGGAGCAGCCGTTCAGGGAGGAGTCCTCGGTACTGACGAAAACAGCAAAACTCCGGACTTGCTAATCCTCGACGTCAATTCCTTGAGTCTCGGCATCGAGACAGTTGGAGGCGTCATGTCAAAGATCATCAGTCGGAACACAGCCATCCCTTCCAAGAAGACACAGCAGTTCACAACAATAGAGGACGACCAGGATGTGCTGGAGGTCCTTGTCTACGAAGGCGAGAGAGCCATGACGAAGGACAACCATATCCTCGGGAAGTTTGAACTAAAGGGAATTCCTCCAGCGGCCAGAGGGGACCCCCAGATCGATGTTACATTTGAGATAGACGTGAATGGTATATTGACGGTCACGGCCGAGGACATAGGAACGGGAAACAAGAATAATATTGTCATTCAGAATGACGAAAACAGACTGTCGCCAGAAGACATGGAAAAAATGATTCACGATGCTGAGGAATTTGCTGAAGAAGATAAGAGAGTGAAGGAGAGGACTGACGCGAGAAATGATCTTGATCATTACGTGTATTCTTTAAGAAACCAAATCAACGACAAAAGTAAACTTGGAGGCAAATTAGGCACTGGAGATAAATCGACGATCGAGAAAGCTGTAGCCGCATCTATTAAATGGATGGATAGTCACGAGGATGCTTCAGCTGAAGACTATCAGAAACAGAAGACGGAACTGGAGGATGTCGTCAGGCCGATCACGAGTAAGCTCTACGAAGCAGCCGGAGAAGAGCCTGAAGAAGAGAAAGAAGACAAGTCTTCCCACCCTCACGAAGACTTATAACGGAGTGTTTCGAGTTATCTCCCTTACACCTTGTTTAACGTCATTCGGATACACTCGTGTCATTCCGGTTACGGAAAGGCACGAGTTTGTATGAAAGATGTCAGATAATGGTGGTGCATTTTAGACATTCGTCACCACTCGCCTCTTTCCGTAAACTCCAAGAAGTTGAATAACACGAGTTGGTCACGAAAGCATTTTAGAGTTAGTTCCTTTTAGCTGAATGATGCGGAATGATATGTATTCTAATCGCTTTTTGAAATGTTACGGTACTTTACTTAAATGTCACGGTACTTTATTCAAATGACACGATACTTTACTCAAATATCATGATAGAGGCGAATAAGATATTTTCATTATTTAGTTAAATCTTAAACTTATGGACTTACCTGTTTTATCGCAAGGAACATCTTTACCTCTGATCCTTCACATCTTTCAACGACATTTAGAAGTGATACACAAAAAGGGAAAATTCAAAGGTCAACTTCTGTAAAAATGTTTCTCATTTTACAAAAGTTGACATCAATAAATTTCCCATTCCGATCCGTAACGTTTGATTTAGTAGTCATGAATGTGTAATGAGGATGAAGTTACCGAAGACAATTTCATGCCATTTCTTGACAAATTACAGATTTCATGTTTATTATTGAGAGTGTCTGATATGAAACCAACCATTTCGCAATGTCTTGTCGACAATAAATGTTTTTCGCTGTCAACAGAGCTGTTACTGCTTGGCCTTCATTACGTGTTTTATCTTGAAGAATCGGGGCGGTAGGTACATGTAGACTAATGCTTAGTCTCTGAATATACATAAGTTTGATAGTAACAAACAAGCCCATTTAAATTGAAAAGGAGCCCCAGGGAGACCAGAGATTCAGAACCTGAGGAAATCTAGACTTGCTTTATTGAGGGCTTTAGCACTGCAGAGAGGGCTAGGCAGTAGGGGAAAACAATGTGGTTCAGAGACAGTGAGACAGACTAGGGCGGAGGGTACCCTTGTGGTTAAAGCGCTCGCCGGTCACGATTCCCCACATGGGTACAATGTGTGAAGCCCATTTCTGGTGTCCCCCGCCGTGATATTGCTAGAATATTGCTAAAAGCAGCAAAAAGCTTTACTTACTCACTCACACACTAGACTTGAGATGGTCCCTTTTTAAATATATTCTCTAGGGTCTGAGAGACTGACCACCAAATCAAATATACCATCATCCAGTAATTTCTTGTTTGTTTAGGGATGATGGGGTAGCCTAGTGGTTAAAGCGTTCGCCTGTCTCTGTGATTCCCCACATGGGTACAATGTGTGAAGCCCATTTCTGGTGTCCCCAGCCGTGATATTGCTGGAATATTGCTAAAAGCGACGTAAAAACATACTTACTCACTCACATACTCACTCACTCACTCACTCACTCACTCACTCTTAAAGAACAAGTCAGCAAATATTCTCCAATCTAGGGGTAGAGAGGGTAGGGGTTGATAGTGGGGGTTACGTTAGGGTTGACGATGGCTAGGGTAGACACAGAGGGCCGTCCGAACCAGGGTAGTCGGCTCTCAGTAGGGTAAGGGTTGATGTAGAGCTAGGGGTGGGGGTAGGGTTGGGTAGAGCTAGGGTAAGGGTAGGCCCAGGGCCAGGTGGGGGAGAGCTAGGGAGAGAAAAGGGTAGGGGTAGGGTAGGGGTAGTAAGGTAGAGGCTAGGGATAGGGTTAGGGTTGAGGTAGAGCTAGGGGTAGGGTAAGGGTTGGGGTAGAGCTGGGGTAGGGTAAGGGCTGAGGTAGAGGGGTAGGGCTAGGGGTAGGGAGTAGGGTAGAGGGTAGGGTAAGGGTTGGGGTAGAGCTAGGGGTAGGGTAAGGGTAGGAGGGTAGAGGTAGGGGTAGGGGTAGAGTTAGGGGTAGGGCTAAGGGTAGGGTAAGGGTTGGGGTAGACTGAGGGGTTGACTAGGGGAGTTTGGTTTTGGGGTAGGCTTTAGAGGTAATGGTTGGGCAACAGACGGCTAGGGGGTACCAGAAGGGTTGGGGTAGGGCTAGGGGTGGGCCCATGTGGGGATAGGGTAGGAGGGTTCGGGTGTAGAGCCAACGTAGGAGTAAGGGTTGAGGTAGGGGTAGGGTAGGGTTGGGGTAGAGCTAGAGGGGTAGGGAGTAAGGTTGGGGTAGAGCTAGGGGTAGGGTAGGGTAGGGAGGTGGGGTAGTGCTGTGGTTCATGCATCGTGACGTCGGTTACCAAGGCAGTGACGTCATTACAATGTGACGTCAAGCAAATATTGTACTACAGTACAAAACTCTTCCGCAACCTCTTTATGAAACTGGTTCCGGTTTGAAACCATAAAAATATAAAAAATACGCTATTTTGTCAATTTAATGCATGTAAGACGTGGGTAATAGATAAAATACCACACTTGGTCACATTACATACGAATTATTCGAAACGTCACGATGCATGTCCGTTGTCATCGCCTCGTACAGCCTCCTACAGTAAACTACTCCGTAGCACCCCGTTTCTTGGTTTGCAGTTGCTTCATTCGGCTAAGATCACTGGTTAAACATTGCGTTTTTGTTTTTCGACGGATATGATGTCTCAGTTCGACTCACAATTAAACAGCGGCACGGCAAACGTTCGCAATGTTTACATTCCCACAATGCATTTAAGTTTGTTATGAATGAAAAAATAGTTACGTCGAAGCTTCAATTTGGCGTGTCTTTTCTCTGATATCAAGCTGATACCTCGATATACCACTGAACTATTACACAAAGCGGCGGGACCACAGCGTATCTCTCAAAGCAATATGATATGAACAACTATCCCTATACTTCAGTCGGTAACCGACCCGTGAAGATCCGGGTTAGAATTGGTCTTCAGCAACCCATGCTTGTCGTAAGAGGCAACTCGGGTGATTGGGTAGTCAGGCTCGCTGACTTGGTTGACAAATGTCCCGATCACCATGGTGTAGATGAATCTCATAATGCCAATCACTGGCTGCTGTTTTTCAGATTCAACTATTGCGTAGATCGATGCTCATGATGTTGATCACTGGATTGTCTGGTCCAGACTCGATTATTTACAGACCGCCTCCATATAGCTGGAATATTACTGAGTACGGCGTTAAACAACAAACAAACAACAAACAGTCGATAACGTCTCACAATACCAGCTGACGCAACTAAATATGCCACGCTCGGTGTGTTAAACGTCTCCGTATTGCTTCAGCTGTACAGACAATTTCGTCAGTTGCTACACGTTGTTTACAAACATTGAACCAGTAGGCGGTACTAGCTGTTTCAGGAAGTGTGACTGTCACTAACCAATCAGAGAGCGTCTGACCGGCGTGCTAGCCAATCGATGTATGCCACGCTGCTTAGAGGTGTGTTGTGTGGAGAACTCGTCGCATTAAGGCTCAGCTTATTGAGGCTGCTGTTTATTCATTGTTGACAATGAATTTGTAGAAATAACCGTGGCGTTACGTTTGTGATCTAATATCTTTGGAGAAAACGCACAGATGATGCAAGTACGAAGCAGCAGTCACCACCATCTTCAGTTGTGTTTCATTCGCAGAGGTAAGTGTACTAATTTTAACGCGGCATTTGACTTGTTATGCTGGTACTAGTGAAAATTAGGATCGTACCCGAAACGAAAGAAATATGTTGACTGTGTGGACTGTGTAATTCTTCATCATAATTTGTTAGGGAGGATGTGGGCTTTACGGGATTCGTCTCATACCCCGCTTTTGTCAATCACAAACTAACTCCGACGGCATGAACGACATTTTCACGAGGCAGTTTCCTTAACGGAAACGGTGGATACTGAATCTCTTGAGTCAGTTTACATCCTTGTTACGGGAGGATACAACACTGGTGAAACTAGTCGTGTATTGATGATATTGATGAACTAAATTGTTTTAACATTCAAATAGCATGTATACTTTGATGTTGGAGACAATGTATAAAAAGGGATATCAGTGATCAGGGATACAGGGATATCAGTGATCAGGGATACAGGGATATCAGTGATCAGGGATACAGGGATATCAGTGATCAGGGATACAGGGATATCAGGGATACAGGGATATCAGTGATCAGGGATATCAGTGATCAGGGATACAGGGATATCAGTGATCAGGGATACAGGGATATCAGTGATCAGGGATATCAGGGATATCAGTGACCAGGGATATCAGTGACCAGGGATACAGGGATATCAGTGACCAGGGATACAGGGATATCAGTGACCAGGGATACAGGGATACAGGGATATCAGTGATCAGGGATACAGGGATATCAGTGCTCACTGTTTAGTCAAGTGTCTTTTAAATAAAAGGAACATTTTTTCAACGAATGAATGAGGGAGTGAGTTTAGTTTAGACCCCTTTTAGCAATATTCCAGCAAAATCACGGCGGGGGACACCAGAAATGGGCTTCACACATTGTACCCATGTGGGGAATCGAACCTGGGTCTTTGGCGTGATGAGCGCACGCTTTAACCACTAGGCTACCCCCACCGCCCCCTCAACGAATGAATATGTCAAGGAGATATGCATCACTACGCACAATATGAACGTAAGGTATCGGCGCATTTCGTATGTTTAATTTTGATGGATTTATTTCTTAAAGGGAAACAGTAATGGGAACACCATAAATAGAATTCATCACTCGTGTTTTTGAAAATATGAAATAATAACCTAGTTTCCTTTAATCGGTTAATATTATCCATGTGAAAACACAGATGATAAATCCTCTACGTATTTTCCGCCATTTTCCTTCATTATTATACTGAATTAATATTCCAAATATTGGCCATGGTGCCCCTTCGACTCTGGACTTAGTAATCCAATTTCCAGAAATACGCGAAATATTGCTGATTTAAATTCTGCGTGAAGAAAACAAAATAAAGATGTAGTCTCATGTTATTTGACATGCATCTCTCCAAAATGTCGACTGTAACCAGTGTGCGAAATAGCCACTAGCCCGTTGGCCTGTGACTTGTGAAAATCCAGTCGGGCCAGTAAATCTCCAGTCACTGGCCCGACTAGCTAGTGAATTTTCATGGGGTCATTTTGGAAATATATCACTCTCTCTGACTTGTTAGGATATAATAAATTTTTAAATCGTACAAGATTATGGCCTGGTAAAAATGATCACCACATTAGCAGCTTAATGATGAAACCCGGGTCAACATTCACATTGCGGGCGAGTGAATTATTTTGTAACTTTCAGGCAAAGCTGCCCTGATTGACTAACAACATTTGAACAAGTTGAACAACTTGATTCTGTTTGACAAGGGCACATATGACAAACTGTACAAAGAAGTTACCCAGTTACAAGTTGGAAACTATTTCGCACACTGTTTTTCCACATGTATAAGCACCATGGAAATCTATTTCAGAATACAAGAAGCTGTTACTGCGAGCTACCTGAAGGTAACAGCCACATGTACGCAGAGGCTATGTGCGTGGCGCTGTTGCTAGGGGCAACATGCAGTCCCGTGCAAGCAGTTACAAACAGTGAAACACCCTCCACTAACGACAACACCGAGAAGTTACGAACTGTAATAGCAATAGATTTTGGAACAGACTATACCTGGTAGGTCCTTTTTTGATTGGTCCACACTCAGTCGTATTTTGTTTTAAACAAAATCCATTTGCACCATTCCCAATGAAAAACAGTTCGGATAAACGAATAAATTTTATGGCGATACGCCCATCTGTACACATAAAGCTGTTCTCAACGGCAGGCACCAGAAAGGCAGATTTCAGTGTAACATTCACATTCTCAGTAAAAGAGATTCTAGTTATATTAACAGTTGTCTGACTTCCAGTTTGGTGGAAGCCGCGATGGCTGAGTGGGTTAGATGGCTGACTTTGTGTACCGGCGATTAGGCGCCTGACTCTGAGGGTGTGGGTTCGAGTCCCAGATGGGATTCAACCCAAAACGTACTAATTAGAATCTGTACTTAACTGAGAAAATGTAATCCCAAATAAAACATGTTACATTTTGCCACTGTGTATTCATAGGTTTCGGAATGTGTAGGCTTAAGGATATAGGTCCAAAACAACCTTTGCTGGTCGTTAAAGGCGACAAAAGGTGATGTTGTAGTTAGGCTGGGTCACTCTGAAGATTGCATTGTATTTAAATTACGTCGGATCATGTTCATGATATCAATCACTCGAATATTTACAGACAGCCATCTTTTTGCTGGAATATTTCTGAGTTCTGATTTCTGATTTCATCTTGGATTGACTGTGTATGGCTAGCGGCCATTTTGTCCTCTCCTTTCATTTCACTGGACTTCTGTCTAGATAAACGACAGGCTGCGACTGAAGGAAACGTAAGATAGCATCCATACATACTTGGTCCATTAGTACATGAAGTGTCTTGAAGTTAAATTGATCTCGCCCAAAATAGGATCGGAAGTAAAGTTTGTTGTAATTTTAATCGCCAAACTAATTTTTCCGAGGACACGTCACTGTGTTTGGGAATTATGGACGTCAGGCACGCGCATCTATCTTCGTAAATGTTAGAAGCGTACGTACGGTAGCTGGAGCAGCAAACAAACAAACGATCACTCCCCACTAACCCTGGTCAGTCATGTGGTCATTACGATCACTCTCCGTTACATTATAGTGTCCCTGGATGCGAATCGCAGTGCCACTCAGATATTTGAGGAAAACATACAAACACATTGACAGATCTGAAACTTTCCAAAATATATAAAATAGCTCCTTCTACTTCTTTCAGAGTTACTCTGCATTAATTGTGTTGCCAATTTTAAACGGCTAGATAATTTAAGAAGCGAAAATGAGTTGTGATTGGTTCGCTCAACTTCCCAGCGTAGACACCTGACTGGATAAAAAGCCAGCCAAGGGAGGTGATAAAATCTTCGGGCCAGGCCGTGGATGCATCCACGGTATACATTCGTCACCACTCGCCCCTTTCCGTTACCTCCAAGACGACTCATCCCCCTATCGATGCTTGTTATGTGCGAAAATACGATAAACTAATCAGAACGAGCGTAAGTGACTGCGGTGCTTTGGTCAAAATAATCCCGAGTACTTCAATCGTGTATTGCATTATGTCATTGTTTAAAGAATCATGTAAAGTATATATCGTCATATAGAAATCACAAAGAAATTAGCTAACAGAATTTTGATGCTTTATGAAGTTTTTGATAAGATTCATGCGATTGACGGTGAGAGATTCAAATACACGCACGTGCGTTTGTTGACATAACGGCTCTCATGAGTCCAACTGAGGGTATTTCTGACGATCTTGCGGGCTTGCTATGGAGATTGTACGTGCGCTTCCAACAATTTTAGGAAATGTAGTTATAAATCGTTTCAAAATGTTCAAAACAATAATATTAGACATATATCTGTATGTAACTTATCAACTTTAATCTTTCACATTGGGCTTATATTTCACATTTCGGGATAAATTTAAGTGTGACGTTTTTTTGGGGGGGTCCTTCATATATTTTTCATTTAAAATCCACTTGGTGTATGACAGCAAGGTTACACGAATGTTCAGTTTGAGAAATATTTTAAAGTCATTTTTGAGTTTCTGCTTTGGGATTTAATGTAGCTTTTATAAAGTTTATTTACATATTTAATAAAACAAATCCTCTTTGTGATAATCAAACGCTATGTTAGAAATTTAATTGAAACTATAAGGTGAACATCTGGAAATAATTACGCCAGAATAAGTCTGTAACAAATAAGTTTATCTCCTTTTAGCTGTATCAACAGGTTTAATTCCTTGAAAAAACATAAACAGCAATACAATGTATGATTACTTCGGTGATATTAAGTACCACAAGTAACAAGAATAGAGTTATCGTTCCTGTTTAAAGTAGTTCTGATGTTCATGCGTCATTATGAAATCCTTCCAGAGGGGCACGAGTCGCTATCCGGCTTGTCCCGGAATAGCACGAGTTGGCCACGAATGCCAGGGTATAGTGGAGTGTCATCGTAACGTATACCCAGGAGATTATCGAGGATGGTCATGTGTATGATCCGACAATAGTTTAACAACTTGTTGTTATTTTCTATACGAATATGTTATAGACAATAAGCTGTAAACCACTATTTGTCCTGAGATGACCCTACGTGATGGACGTATGCCGATGACCATATGAGATTCTGGCAGAGTTTAGTAAATAAACGAACACGCTCACTGTACTCTCTGATCAAGTGGTGAACCAAAGATAACTTGCGCAAAACACAGCAAACGTATTCTCTTTAACAAGGAAATTTTATACATTCAAGTGAAAAACATTGAAATGTTAACGTTTTGTGCTTTCAGTGTAGCTGTGGGTGAGAACGATCATGTTGAGATCATCCCCAATGAACAGGGGAACAGGATAACCCCCTCGTATGTAGCGTTCACCCCGGATGGGGAGATACTGATCGGAGACGTCGCCAAGAACCAAATGACCACAAACCCCGAGAACACCATCTTTGACGTCAAACGTCTGATTGGTCGCACCTGGGATGACCCGTCCGTGCAGCGCAATATACAACGATATCCTTTCAAGGTAGGTGGAATTCGCATGTGTGTGCGTGCGTGTTTGTGTGTACTCCTTTAACAGAAAGAAATGTGCATTGTGAGCGTTGATCGATTGAATATCCTGTAAACATTTAGGCCTCGAACACTTCAAGTTAAATAAGTCCTGCACCACCCTGTTCTCCCATATCAAACTTACTCGTCATGATCCACCAAAATGTAATTACTTACGCGAGTTTTCTATGTCTTGTATGAAAGGCGAGTAAAAACCACATCATCAGTACAATCCAATCTACTGAATGCAATGTATATCAAAGCTGCATGTAATGTGTGTCAAGGCTTTATGTCTATCGGAACTGTATGAAATGTACATACAGGGGGCCAGTGTGACGCTTACGTAGCGTTCACTCCTGCAAAGGACACGAGTGAGTTAAGATTTATAGCCCATCGGCAATATTTCAGCCATATCGTGACGTTAAAGAGTTATGAATTCTATGAATTCAGATGAAACTCAACTGAATTATAAAAAAACAACAACTGTAATCGACGGACAGTAAAATAACTACATTATCACAGATATAAAACTAGCATGTAACTGTAAAGTTATACAAACTTTTATGCACAATGCAATATAAACATCGGGCTGGAGATCACCAGCAATTGAAGGTAGGTCACCACACTAGGGACCATGGGGTTGCAAAGGACATGAGACCTATATGCAATGCCAATCAGAAATGTATGCAGTGTATATCAGAACTGTCTGCAATGTGTATCAAATCTGCATGAAATATGCATCACAACTGCATGTAATGTGCACCTCCCCAAATGTTTTTTCTGCACAAACTGTAATCCACGTTCCACTGATGACGAGTTTCACTTCCTCTTGGAATGTCCTTGATTCCAGTCGAGCAGAGAAATATTTTTGCAGCCTTATTGTTATAGTTACCCTATTTTTTATAGTTATACCAGCTTATGTCATCAACAAATTCTTCACTTATCAAGAATGTATCTTTGCATTTGAAAAGACATCTTCCAAGATAAACTTTCGTGATTATTGTACAACCGTAGAAGCAGTGCACTTTGTACATGTATTGTATACTGAGCACTATGGGTCACATGGCCTTAAATGCAAGGCTTTATAAAATATGCAAGCTCTATGCAGTTTATATCAAAGCTAAATTCTATTTTGCAGCACTGTTCTATCGTTTACATAACACTTCCATACATGGACCCTAATGTGTGTATTTGTCAGGTAATATACGAGGACTTCAGGCGAAGGGTTGATCGGAGTAGAATGTATGCATTAATTTGTGTATATATAAAGTAATACACACGAGATCCAGGTTACGGTTTGGTCCAAGAAGAATACTTGTTTATCCACCACGTAATAAACAAGAGATTCAGGTTAAGGTCAAAGGAGAATACTTGTCAAAGAAGAATGCATGTTTATCCACCAGGTAATAAACTAGTGATTCAAGTTGAGGTTCGGTCAAAGAAGAATGCATGTTTATCCACCAGGTAATAAACTAGTGATTCAAGTTGAGGTTCCGTCAAAGAAGAATGCATGTTTATCCACCAGGTAATAAACTAGTGATTCAAGTTGAGGCTTGGTCAAAGAAGAATACTTGTTTATCCACCAGGTAATAAACGTGAGATTCAGGTAACAGAACGGTCACAGAAGAATACAGGTTTATCCACCAGGTAATAAACAGGAGATTCAGGTTAAGGTAAAAAAAGAATACATGTTTATCCACCAGGTAATAAACTAGTGATTCAAGTTTAGGTTTGGTCAAAGAAGAATGCATGTTTATCCACCAGGTAATAAACTAGTGATTCAAGTTGAGGTTCGGTCAAAGAAGAATGCATGTTTATCCACCAGGTAATAAACTAGTGATTCAAGTTGAGGTTTGGTCAAAGAAGAATACTTGTTTATCCACCAGGTAATAGACGTGAGATTCAGGTTACAGTTCGATCAAAGAAGAATACGTGTTTATCCACTAGGTAATACACAAGGAAAACAATCCGTACATAGAAGTCAGAGTTGGGTCAGAGGACAAGGTGTTCGCTCCCGAGGAGATCTTGGCCATGTTGTTGTCGAAGATGAAGGAGATAGCAGAGAACTACCTTGTAGAAAACGTCACCCACGCCATCGTCACCGTCCCTGCCTTCTTCAACGACCTCCAAAGGATGGCAACCAAAGACGCCGGCACCATTGCTGGGATGAACATTCTACGTGTCAGCAACGAACCGTCAGTGTTATGATGTCGTGTATTCCCATTAACGCTACATCTATTTCTCACCAGCCTAAACTTGTTGTTCAAATTGCTGTTATATCGAAATGTACACATTTACTGGTGCTATTTATTCATCAAAGGTTTAGACTCACTAGTGTTAAATATAGCCACTTACTTCAGGCAACTGTTCTAACTAAATTTGCAAAATATTCCACACTGTTTAAAGGTACTGTTTACACATGAACTGATGTATTGTAAAACAAATTCGTAACGTTGAAAAGATTATTGTCATGAGTTCAGTAAGTGATGAATATCAGTGAAAATTGGCGAATTCTTTACACCACAACGCATCTGTTCACAAGCACCATATTTGCACATGCTTTCAGCAATTTGATGCATGATCCTCGTGCAATTCATCTGCATACAGTTTGTAGTTGGTTCCCCCAAGTTAGTGGAGAAATCAATCTTCGATGTAACCATATATATATACAAAGCATATAGTGAGTGTTTTAAGTGAGCCTAAACTTTTGAAGAGTAGTATAGAACACCCTTGTGTCTGTCTTCGAAAACTGATCTGTTTCTTGAATTGTGAAACTTATTGTGACCTTGACCTCAAATCAGCTACAAAATACAGAAATCAGTTTCCAACTATTTCTTATTCAATAACAATGCCAAAAATAAGGATAAATAATGATAACAGCATGTGTCTGCAATTAATTTAATGCTCGTGGCATACTGCCCTATTACCACAGTCAGCGGACCTTTCAGGTTGCATTTTCAACTCCATGGGAAGTATACAACCCAAACTGCATTAAATCGCTAGAAAGGTTAGCTTTGGCATTAGGACGTGTATTATTCCAGTGTTGTAGAGCCTAATCTCTCAAGAAGTCTAAAGGGATGAATGCCGTATTTCCTCTCTATGTACATGACATCCCCAGATTGCAGCTTCGACGTCATGTGGGGGGATGGGAAGTTGTGACTAAAGGGACCAGTAATTAATAAATCTATTTTTGTATCAAGGGAGAATACATTTATGAAAAACATACCCGGCGCTTATAAGAGACCCGATGCCTATTAGAGGCCCAGCGCATATTTCGAAACCGCTGCTTTACCCCCGGCGCTTATTAGAGATCCGGTGCTTACAAGAGGAAATACGGTATTTCGAGACCTGTTATAAATACCGAAGGACATAAGAAAGTAGACTCTCATGTCTGAAAGTTGCTACAATCGAAACTATCGGCAAATTGATATTTGATACGGCTATGTAAGGTAGTATACACTCATGTCTGAAAGTTGCAACAAATGAAACTAACAGGAAATTCTTATGTCATGTCGATGTACTTGATGTACTGTTTTTGGCCATATAACATTATAAAAACGTTGTTAACATGTTGGTGAAATCCAGTTCCCAAGTGTATGCAAACACGCTGGTAGTATATATTTGAGTGAGGCAGATGATATTTAACTTACCATTCAAATGTTCCATGTAATGTGAATGGAGCTTCTGTGTGTTTACAGAAATACGTTGCACCATACCCATTATTCATCTATCGACCAGGTAATTTCACGGGGACTCGTTCAGTTAAATGGTGAAATTATTTAATATGAGACATCTATAACTGTATGAATAAATTGATAAAATGGCATGATGATGATGATGATGATGATGATGATGATGGATGGATGATCCTAATACAAACATGTATATTGTAGATCTGCTGCCTCTATAGCGTACGGCCTTGACAAGTTAGATGGAGAAAAGAACGTACTGGTGTTTGACTTGGGAGGGGGAACGATTGAAGGGTCAATCCTAACCATCGACAATGGCGTTATCGAGTTGGTGGCCACCAATGGCGACACGCATCGAGGTAAGGATGTGGACAGTGCTGCTGTCGACGTTGTTCACCTTGATCTCATCCTGCTGCAACACATGGCTACTGACATGATAGGTACAGGTGATCTTCCGTGGTCACTGTGTAGAGTTACTTCCCTTAGGCGAGCAAGGAACCTATGATCATATGATCGAATCGCAGATTCATCCAGATGAGTTTGACCAATGTGAACACTAGTAATACCATCATTGCTTTGGACATTCTTCACATGTGTACCTGACACGCAATAATATTTTTCGTAGCATCGCTATACCAATTTGTTTGCTCTACATTTATTCTCTTGTGTAAATTATTCTATCAACAAATAACATCACTTTTAAAACAATACAACATAGTGCCGTATATTGTATATGGCATTACATGTCTTCCATACATTCTCAGGCGATCAAGACATCGACCAGAGACTGATAGAGTACTTCATCAAACAATACAAGACGAGGACAGGGCAGGACCTACTGGAGGACAGCGGGGCCATCCAGAAACTGCGTCGTGAGGTGGAGAAGGCGAAGAGAGCCCTGTCATCCCAGCATCAGACTCGGGTGGAGATCGAGTCTCTCATGGGCGGCCATGATTTCTCTGAAGTCCTCACTAGAGCTAAGCTGGAGGAACTTTACGTAGTACGTACAGCTATACTGATAAAATAACAGAATGGTGCTTGCTGATGTAAGATCATATTAAGGTGTGAGGTGCTATACATGCACTATTATGGTGCTAGGTCATACAGGTGGATTATTACAATATTGCCAGGTACAACATGTATATTACAGTGTTGCTAGGTTACATACATTCTTTTGCACTCGTGATGATCCGGGTTAGAATTGATCTTCAGTAACCCATGCTTGTCGTAAGAGGCGACTAACGGGATCAGGTGGTCAGGCTCGCTGACTTGGTTGACACATGTCATCGTATCCCAATTGCGTAGATCGATACTCATGCTGATGATCACTGGATTGTCTGGTCCAGCCTGGATTATTTACAGATCGCCGCCATATAGCTGGATTATTCCTGAGTGCGGCGTAAAACTAAACTCACTCACATTATTTTATACTTTGTTATTACACTGGTGTTGGGGCAAACATAAGGGTTATTATAATCTTATTCCTTTTATTTTATCATGTCATTTATCAAGCATGTATATATTCCATCTAAACTATAACGGATAATGACGAATTCAATATCTGAATCTTCATTGAGTAAGGGATCACCAGGTCTATAATCCAGAAGTAAGATATTGTCGCAAGCCTTGACTGATCATGTGTTTACATAAACATTCTTTTACAGTTACGCTTCCTTTTGTCAGGACCTGTTTGAATCATCTTTAAACTACATGCAGTCCGCTTTAGAAGAGGAATACTTGAACAAGACGGACATCCACGAGATTGTTCTGGTCGGAGCAGCAAGTGAGATACCCAAGGTTCAGCAACTGGTCATGGAATTCTTTGATGGGAAGGTGAGCTGCATAACATGGGTATCAAATTGAACCAGTAGCATATCAGTAGCATATCAGATAGCATATCATATCCCCGACCGCGTCATACCAATAGACGTTAAAATATGGTACTTGTTGGTCCCTGCCTGGCGCTCGGCATTAATTAATGGGTACAACAAGGACTGGTCGGCCCGAAATCAGTATAATGTGTCTGAGTGGGGTATTCATGCTTCACTGCGGCATGGTATCTCAGCGGGGTAGCACTATAAAACCAGCTTCAGTCTGGGCTAGTACAAGCAGCCGCACATACACATACACACGCATGCACGTCGTCATATCAGCGAAATATTCTCAAGCACAACGTTAAACCCAATTTCACCTCACCTCATTATTTTCCTCATAATGAATTCCCCATTTCAAACGCAACGCTGATGACAGGCGAAAAGAACAATGTTTTCGTTAATCACCTAGTATGCCCAGCGATGCAATGTCATGTTTGAACAGTTCCTGTCTCACGTACATGGGAATAACCACCCATGTGTATTGCCTGGGAGTTCCCTAGGTCAAGGCTAACGCTGTGGATCTTGTATTCCAGGCACCAAAGATAGGCATTCACCTAGAAGAGACAGTAGCCTATGGAGCGGCCCTTGTTGCAGCATTTTATGCTACCTACGACGAGACCAAGGATGAATGTTTTGATATCATAGAAATCAATCACTTGAGTCTCGGCATCGAGACCATTGGAGGCGTCATGTCAAAGATTATCACTCGGAACACAGCCATCCCTACCAAGAAGACACAGCAGTTTACAACAATAGAGGACGACCAGGATGTGATGGAGGTCCTTGTCTACGAAGGCGAGAGAGCCATGACGAAGGACAACCATATCCTCGGGAAGTTTGAACTCAAAGGAATTCCTCCAGCGGCGAGAGGGGACCCCCAGATCGATGTTACATTTGAGATAGACGTGAATGGTATATTGACGGTCACGGCCGAGGACGTAGGGACGGGAAATAAGAATAGCATTGCCATTCAGGACCTCCACGGAGATGCACTCTCGCCTGAAGATCTGGAGAAGATGATTCACGATGCTGAGGAGTTTGCTGAGGAAGACAAAGAGATGACGGAGAAAACGGAAGCTGAACTTAGAGCCGGGGATAAATGGACGAACAGAAAGGCTGTGAGAAGGAAACCCATCATATCAGGTGACCCGGAGGATGTTTCCCGTGACGAACTCTGAGGGAGGAATTGGAACAAGGAGATAAAACAATGATGCTGGAAACTAAAGATGCATGGATGTTGTGAGGGGAAACTTATTTATATTCTCAATATATATTTAGTTTTAGTGTTGAACCATCAAGAAATTTCGTACTGCCTGAGCAAAGTTCAGGTATAGTTCACATCAGTTGAATAAAGAAGCTGGTAGATATATATATAAACGAAAAAGCTTAAGATGGTGTGAAATGTGTTCCTGTAACTATGTAGAAAATGAGTACCACTTCTTATTGATATGCACTGCTTATGATGATCTACGTAAACGTTTTATCCCTGTCGATGTTTCCACCCATCCAACCCTGTGTCAGTTTAACCGACTGATGAGTAATGATAGTCCTCTGATCTTAAGAAATCTTGCCATGTTCATCTTCTCTGCTAATAATTGTTGTCGCTGCAGCTTAAAGGCTGCTAATGTATAACGTTATATCATGGGCCGATGGCCTACATTCACTGGAATAAAGAGAGAGAGAGTGAGGAAGGACACACTTCAACGATAATGGATGGTTGAGAGTTGTATCTATATCCCTAGCTCTGTACCGACGACATATGCTATGCATAATGGGAAGGTGAGAGATAGCTCAGTTGATATATGTGTATATGTGTTGTATGGGGCCAGTCGTCACCACTCGGCCCTTTCCGTAACCTCCAAGACGCTATTCGGCTTGTCCCGGAATAACACGAGTTGGTCACGAATGGTATGGGGCTTCCCATTCGTGACCAACTCGTGTTATCCCGGGACAAGCCGAATAGCGACTCGTGCCCCTCTGGAAGGATTTCATATTGGCGTAGGAACATCAGAACTACTTCAAACAGGAACGATAACTCTATTCCTGTTTGATCCCAATGGTACTTAATATCACCGAAGTACTCATACATTGTATTGCTGTTTTCGTTTTTGCTATTTATTCTAAAGAATTAAATCTCCTTGGTACAACTAAAAGAAAGAAAAGAACATATTTGTTAAAGACATATTCTGACGTAATTATCAACATATATTCACCTTATATTTCCAATTATATTTCTGAAAATGGTTCATGAATCACAAATGGGACTTATTTTATTGAATATGCAAATCAAATTTGTGAAAAAAAACCCGCTACATTAAATCCCAAAACAGAAACTCAAAAAATGACTTTTATAATATTTCTCAAACTGGACATACGTGTAAACTTGCTGTCATACCACAAGTGGAATTTTAACGGAATTCGCTGAAAAATATATAAATGACCACAAGAAGGTCAGACTAAAATATTCTCAGAGAATTGAAATATATGCCCAATGTTAAAGATTAAAGTAGATTAGTTACATACAGATATAATATTATTGTTTTGAAACTCGTAGCGATATATAATTACATTTCCTAAAATTGTTGGATGCGCACGTACAATTTCCATAATAGGCCCGCAAGATCGTCAGAAACACCCTCAGCTGGACCCATGAGAGCCGTTATGTCAACAAACGCACGTGCGTGTATTTGAATCTCTCACCGTCAATCGCATGATGCTTATCCCAAACTTCACATTAGACAGCAAAATCCTGTTAGCTAAGAACAATGACATAAGGCCATAAACGATTTAAGTTCTCGGGATTATTTTTATCAAAGCACCGCATTCATTTACGCGCGTTCTGATTGGTTTGTCGTATTTTCGCACATAACAAGCATCGAGAGGGGGACGAGTCTTCTTGGAGGTTACGGAAAGGGGCGAGTGGTGACGAATGGGTATGGGGCTTCCCATTAGTGAAACACTATCTCAGTCCTGCCTGTCAATTGAATAATCATGTTTGTCCAGGAGAAGAGTTTATCTATACATTTTTGTACATTCATTTGTGTATTTAGATTTTGGTATACAGGTGTAGACAATACAAGGAGTGTATACGTACATGTGTGTAATATAGAAAATAAAATATTTGTTCATTTACACATGGACATGTGTGATATATAAATAACGAAGAGTACACGAACACGTGTGTGATGTGGGAAATAGAAACTTTGTACATTTACAAGTGTATGATGTAGAAAATATATGATTTGTACATTTACGCGTGTGTGATGTAGAAAATATATGATTTGTAAATTTACACGTGTGTGATGTAGAAAATATATGATTTGTACATTTACAAGTGTGTATTGTAGAAAATAAAAGATATGTACATTTACACGTGTGTTATGTAGAAAATATGATTTGTACATTTACAAGTGTGTGATGCAGAACCTATATGATTTGTACATTTAAACGTGTGTGATGTGGAAAATATATGAGTTGTGCATTTACAAGTGTGTCAGGTACAAAATAAAAGATTTATAAATGTACACGTGTGTGACGTAGAGAAACAAATGATAAATATATACACATGTGTAATCGTACGGACAACGTCATCGGGACGTTAGCAGTACCATTCCTGCAAGCCATACATGGCCTTTGTGGTCGACCCTCTTAACTGCAAGACGACAACGCTAGGCCTCATAGGGCCAGGATTGTCACAGAATTCCTAAGGCAGCACGGTGTGCTCGCCAGACCTCAGCCCAATTGAGGGATGGGATGAACTCGGTCGACGTGTGTACAAACGTCACCCAGCACCAGTGAATCTCCCAGGATTCCGCAGAGCTCTAGTAGAGGAATAGAATGCGATTCCCCAAGCTTTCTTTATGAACTTGATAAGGAGCATGAAAACAAGGTGCACCTGTGTCTTGACACAAGATATTGAATGACCGAGTGATTCATGTCTGTCATTTTCATTTTAGGGGTGTTGGTGTAACTGATGTTTGCTAATGCTGTTTGAACTGTTTGAACTTTTTGTCTACATGTCACAATGTTGCCATTGCTATATATCATTTGCCCCTTTATTAATGACGCCTAGTATAGTTTAGGGTGATTGTGGATTTAATTTAAACAAGAAGGGTCGTGTAGGAGAACACACTATGGTCCACACTATACCTCTCTCGCCTCAAAGCTTAGCTTGGAGATAGGCAGTCTATGGTCCACACTATATCTCTCTCGTTTAAAGGTTTAGCTTGGAAAAATGCAGTCTATGGTGCACATTATACCCATCTCGTTTCAACGTTTAGCTTGGGGAAATGCAGTCTATGGTCCACACTCAAACCCCTCTCGTTTCAAGGCTTAGCTTGGAGAAATGCAGTCTATGGTCCACACTATACCCCTCTCGTTTCAAGGCTTAGCTTGCAGAAATACAGTCTTTGGACCACACTATACCCCTCTCGCTTCAAGGCTTAGCTTGCAGAAATGCAGCCTATGGTCAACACTGTACCCATCTCGCCTGAAGCCTTAGCTTGGAGAAATGCAGTCTATGGTCAACACTGTACCCATCTCGCCTGAAGGTTTAGCTTGGAGAAATGCAGTCTATGGTCCACACTGTACCCATCTCGCCTGAAGCCTTAGCTTGGAGAAATGCAGTCTATGGTCCACACTGTACCCAACCTGTAATCAACCTGATGATATCAACAACAGAACGCCATTTAGCAAAGCACTAATCGTGAACTATGGTCCACACTATACCCATCTCGCCTGAAGGTTTAGCTTGGAGAAATGCAGTCTATGGTCAACACTATACACCTCTCGTTTCAAGGCTTAGCTTGCAGAAATGCAGTCTATGGTCAACACTGTACCCATCTCGCCTGAAGCCTTAGCTTGGAGAAATGCAATCTATGGTCAACACTGTACCCATCTCGCCTGAAGGTTTAGCTTGGAGAAATGCAGTCTATGGTCAACACTGTACCCATCTCGCCTGAAGCCTTAGCTTGGAGAAATGCAGTCTATGGTCCACACTATACCCATCTCACCTGAGTGTTTAGCTTGGAGAAAAGCAGTCTATGGTCAACACTGTACCCATCTGGCCTGAAGGCTTAGCTTGGAGAAATGCAGTCTATGGTCCACACTATACCCCTCTCGTTTCAAGGCTTAGCTTGCAGAAATACAGTCTTTGGACCACACTATACCCCTCTCGCTTCAAGGCTTGGCTTGCAGAAATGCAGTCTATGGTCAACACTGTACCCCTCTCGTTTCAAGGCTTAGCTTGCAGAAATGCAGTCTATGGTCAACACTGTACCCATCTCGCCTGAAGCCTTAGCTTGGAGAAATGCAGTCTATGGTCAACACTGTACCCATCTCGCCTGAAGGTTTAGCTTGGAGAAATGCAGTCTATGGTCAACACTGTACCCATCTCGCCTGAATGTTTAGCTTGGAGAAATGCAGTCTATGGTCAACACTGTACCCATCTCGCCTGAATGTTTAGCTTGGAGAAATGCAGTCTATGGTCCACACTATACCCCTCTCGTTTCAAGGCTTAGCTTGGAGAAATGCAGTCTATGGTCCACACTGTACCCATCTCGTCTGAAGCCTTAGCTTGGAGAAATGCAGTCTATGGTCCACACTGTACCCAACCTGTAATCAACCTGATGATATCAACAACAAAACGCCATTTAGCTAAGCACTAATCGTGAACTATGGTCCACACTGTACCCATCTCGCCTGAAGGTTTAGCTTGCAGAAATGCAGTCTATGGTCAACACTGTACCCATCTCGCCTGAAGGCTTAGCTTGGAGAAATGCAGCCTATGGTCAACACTGTACCCATCTCGCCTGAAGCCTTAGCTTGGAGAAATGCAGTCTATGGTCAACACTGTACCCATCTCGCCTGAAGGTTTAGCTTGGAGAAATGCAGTCTATGGTCAACACTGTACCCATCTCGCCTGAAGCCTTAGCTTGGAGAAATGCAGTCTATGGTCCACACTGTACCCATCTCTGAAGGCCTGCAGTGTGGTCAACACTGCTTGCCTGAAGCCTTAGAGAAATGCAGTCTATGGTCAACACTGTACCCATCTCGCCTGAAGGCTTAGCTTGGAGAAATGCAGTCTATGGTCCACACTATACCCCTCTCGCCTCAAGGCTTAGCTTGGAGAAATGCAGTCTATGGTCCACACTGTACCCCTCTCGCTTCAAGGCTTAGCTTGCAGAAATGCAGTCTATGGTCAACACTGTACCCCTCCTGTTTCAAGGCTTAGCTTGCAGAAATGCAGTCTATGGTCAACACTGTACCCATCTCGCCTGAAGGTTTAGCTTGGAGAAATGCAGTCTATGGTCAACACTGTACCCATCTCGCCTGAAGGTTTAGCTTGGAGAAATGCAGTCTATGGTCAACACTGTACCCATCTCGCCTGAATGTTTAGCTTGGAGAAATGCAGTCTATGGTCAACACTGTACCCATCTCGCCTGAAGGTTTAGCTTGGAGAAATGCAGTCTATGGTCCACACTATACCCCCCTCTCGTTTCAAGGCTTAGCTTGCATAAATGCAGTCTATGGTCCACACTGTACCCATCTCGTCTGAAGCCTTAGCTTGGAGAAATGCAGTCTATGGTCCACACTGTACCCAACCTGTAATCAACCTGATGATATCAACAACAAAACGCCATTTAGCTAAGCACTAATCGTGAACTATGGTCCACACTGTACCCATCTCGCCTGAAGGTTTAGCTTGCAGAAATGCAGTCTATGGTCAACACTGTACCCATCTCGCCTGAAGGCTTAGCTTGGAGAAATGCAGCCTATGGTCAACACTGTACCCATCTCGCCTGAAGCCTTAGCTTGGAGAAATGCAGTCTATGGTCAACACTGTACCCATCTCGCCTGAAGCCTTAGCTTGGAGAAATGCAGTCTATGGTCAACACTGTACCCATCTCGCCTGAATGTTTAGCTTGGAGAAATGCAGTCTATGGTCAACACTGTACCCATCTCGCCTGAATGCAGCTATTAGCTTGGAAGCCTTAGCTTGGAGAAATGCAGTCTATGGTCAACACTGTACCCATCTCTCGCCTGAAGGCTTAGCTTGGAGAAATGCAGTCTATGGTCAACACTGTACCCATCTCGCCTTGAAGGTTTAGCTTGGAGAAATGCAATGGTCAACACTGTACCCATCTCGCCTGAAGCTTAGCTTGGAGAAATGCAGTCTATGGTCAACACTGTACCCATCTCGCCTGAAGCCTTAGCTTGGAGAAATAGCTATGGTCAACACTGTAAATCTCGCCTGAAGGTTTCTTGGAGAAATGCAGTCTATGGTCAACACTGTACCCATCTCGCCTGAAGGCTTAGCTTGGAGAAATGCAGCCTATGGTCAACACTGTACCCATCTCGCCTGAAGGTTTAGCTTGCTTAGAGAAATGCAGTCTATGGTCAACACTGTACCCATCTCGCCTGAAGGCTTAGCTTGGAGAAATGCAGCCTATGGTCAACACTGTACCCATCTCGCCTGAAGGCTTAGCTTGGAGAAATGCAGTCTATGGTCAACACTGTACCCATCTCGCCTGAAGGCTTAGCTTGGAGAAATGCAGCCTATGGTCAACACTGTACCCATCTCGCCTGAAGGCTTAGCTTGGAGAAATGCAGCCTAAGGTCAAGGTTTAGCCTGTAGTCTGAGGACATGCGCCACGTGGTTCCCTTGACACTAAAACTGGGTAGTCCAAAGATGACTCCGGTCTATGATCACTACCATGTCAACAATGTTACGTTCAAAATCAGAACTCAGTAAGCAGAGCGACCCTATATGAATAATGGGATGCAAATTCAAAATTGGAAACACCTTTATTGCATACAGTATAGTGTGTTTCCTCTACCAACAGAGAAAATATATTCTGGTCACATCGTATGGCTCTGAGTTTTTGAATAACTCAATGTGTGGACAAACCGTGAATAATAACTTCTGTCATAAGATAAACTACAGACAAGGATTATTCACACACGCTCACAAACAGCTTGGTAGTATGTACGTACGACATACAGACATCTATTATTCTTATGGCGTAGTGTTTTCGCTTTTGGGCATCATCGAAGATATCGGTGTGAGGGTGGATATTGGGACTGGGGGGTTGAGAGAGTCGGAGAGAGGTTGATCTTTGCTTAAAGCACTTTCACAAGGACGTGTGGGGCTGGGCGTGTGCGTATGCGTGTGCGCTCTTGTCAGTGTGTGTTTGTACACAAAGACAATGCTAGCTTTGTAATCAACCTGATGATATCAACAACAGAACGCCATTTAGCTAACCACTAATCGTGAAATTTATCAGAAAATAGGACAGTTAAGACAAATGTATCATATCACAAATGTATACCCAGTCAGCATACTGACAAGGTTATGGTGTCTTCTGTGGGATGACTTCACGCCCTGCTTCACCTGCAACTATTATATTTTACCAGGTCACATATACAACACAGGGTTGCACACCACAGAACGGACCGCTGAAAGTACATGGCATAGCAACATCAACTGGAGTATTGTACAACTTCATGTATATTTCACAGCTTTATGGAATGGACTGAACGAGGTTTTACGCTGGTTTTACAGTTGCAGGAACATCACGTGGCAAGTTCTATTAGACAGGCAGGTAATCGGACCTATATGGTATACACTATCTTATTCATTACGACTCATCCATTCATTTATTATCTCTTTACTTCATTCATTCATTACATCTTTTGTGACTTCTTTACCTCATGCATCAATTACTCCTTACTTCATTCATTACTTCCCTACTTCATTCATTACTTCCCTACTTCATTCATTCATCCATTATTTCTTTACTCCTTTCATTCATTGATAAAAACATAAAAATATATTATGTGCATTTTTGAAAAACTGATAACACTTTCATTAAAAAACTAACAATTCCCATATTGTATATATGCATGTGTTTGTGTGTTTGTTGACCATTTGTTACTTAATTCTATGTTTACATAAACATGACTCATCCATCCATTGATTCATTGCTGCCTTTATTCATTTAGTCTTTCATTACTTCTTTACTCTATTCTGAACTTCATTATCTTATTCATTACGTCTTTGATTACTTCATTCATTACTTCTTTGCTTCATAATTAAATATTTACATCTTCCTTCATCCATTTATTACTTTTTACAGCATTCGTTCATTCACATATTCATTCTTTACTTCATTTATTCATCCATTACTTCTTTGCTCCATTCATTACTTCGTTCATACCTTATTTATATCATGCATTCATTACTATATTCATCTATTAATAAAAACATGAAAAATACATGTGCATACTTAACAAAAATACATTTTCATTGAAAACTACTTACACTTCCCATATTGTATATATGTTGCTACGTAATCATATAATTACATAAACATGACTTATCCATACATACATCCATCCATTCATTCATTACTTCTTTACTTCATTCAGTCATTCATCATTCATTCTTTCATTACTTTTTACTCTATCCTGTACTTGATTACTTCATTCATTACGTCATTCATTACTTCATTCATTACTTAATCATTTCATATGTGGCGTAAGGCTATATGTTAGAACCCACCAGACTCGTTCACTAAATTAAGCGTCGTCTCAGCAAACACAATGTATTCTGTACAAAGCCAGGACATGTGAAACATTTCATTTCTTCACAGTTTAAAACGAAGGGAGATGCGCATACACTGACACACATACACACGCACAGTCACATAGACCCACAAGCAATTCCACACTCATTCCTACCAGTTCCCTATGAATTCAGTTCCAAAGATATTTAAATCTCTTCACGTTAAACGTTCTTAGATGTGTCTTATAGTATAAGTTGCAGTGTGTCCTTCCGCACGACATCCATGTGTCTTTACTTTCCAGCATTATTGTCTCATCTTCCGAGTGGGGTTTTACAGTCGCAGGTAGGGACTTCATCTATGTATACATGCATGCAATCGAAGGGTATACCTTGATCCATTACTACGTAAATTCATTCATTCATTACTTCTCTACTTCATTTATTCATTCATTCAATACTTCTTTACTTTATTCATTCAGCATGACGTCATACTCAACTTCATTCATTCATTCATTACTACTTTCATCCATTCATTTATTACCTGTTTACTTCATTCATTCATTACATCTTTTGTGACTTCTTTACATCATGCATCAATTACTCCTTACTTCATTCATTACTTCCCTACTTCATTCATTACTTCTTTACTTCATTCATTCATCCATTATTTCTTTACTCCTTTCATTCATTGATAAAAACATAAAAATATATTATGTGCATTTTTGGAAAACTGATAACACTTTCATTAAAAAAACCTAACAATTCCCATATTGTATATATGCATGTGTTTGTGTGTTTGTTGACCATTTGTTACTTAATTCTATGTTTACATAAACATGACTCATCCATCCATTGATTCATTGCTGCCTTTATTCATTTAGTCTTTCATTACTTCTTTACTCTATTCTGAACTTCATTATCTTATTCATTACGTCTTTGATTACTTCATTCATTACGTCATTACTTCAGTCATAAATTAAATTATTGCTTCATTCATTATGTCACAATTTCATTCATTACTTGATTCATTACTTATTGAGAATTATTTCATATGTGTGTGGCTAGAACACATCCCACTCGTCCACTAAATTAAGCGTCGTCTCAGCAAATACAATATATTCTCTATAAAGCCAGGACATGTGAAACATTTCATCGCTTCACAGTTTAAATGAAGGGATGCACGCACACACACACATCAAACACACAGCGGGAGATACACAGACACAAATACACGCACAGGCACATATACCAACAGGCAATACACACTCTACCCCTACCAGTTCCATATTGATTCAGTTCCAAAGATATTTAAATCTCTTCACGTTAAACGTTCTCAGCGTTGTCTGATATTATAAGATGCAGTGGTTCCATCCGAACGACATCCATGTGTCTTTAGTTTCCAGTATTATTGTCTCATCTTCCTGTTCCGATTCTTCCCTCAGAGCTCATCACGGGAAACGATCTCCGGGTCACCTGGTAAGATGGGTTTCCTTCTCACAGCCTTCCTGCTTGTCCATTTATCCCCAGCTCTGAGGTCAGCTTCCGCCTTCTCCATCATCTCCTTGTCCTCATCGGCAAACTCTTCAGCATCTTGAATCATCTTCTCCAAATATTCAGGAGAAGGCCTCTCCGCTACGTCATACTTAATGATAATGTTGTTCTTATTTCCAGTTCCTATTTCTTCAGCTGTTACGTACACAATACCATTCACGTCTATTTCAATGGTAACATTAATCAGAGGGACCCCTCTAGACGCAGGCTGAATACCTGTAAGGTCAAATTGTCCCAAGAAAAGGTTGTTCTTTGTCATGGCCCTCTCGCCTTCATAGACCCGAATTGTCACTTCATCCTGGTCGTGTTCTGTTGTTGTAAACTGCTCTGTTCTCCTGGTGGGAATAAATGAGTTACGCCCGATGACCTTTGCCATGACGCCGCCAATGGTTTCAATTCCGAGACTCAATGGGCTGGAGTCGCAGAGTATGATGTCGTTGTCGCCATCCTCAGCCATGACTCTTCCATGAACAGCGGCTCCGTAAGCTACAACTTCTTCAGGGTTGATGCCTCTGTTTGGTTCCTGGAATACAAGTCAGAGAGTAAGCGTCCCCCTTGTAATGACTCACCACAGAGACCACACCCTTAACCCACCCACATGTGAAATAATTGATCAACCTGCAGGTACGTACACATAGTGTCAGGCCATATCAAACCAAAATTGCCGTCTATCATATGTCATGCCGGGTATATCAAAGTATAACACAATGGTCTTCAGTGCATACAATAAAAACAACAGTTGGCACATATGGTACACAAATGAATATGTTAAATTATGTAGAATGAACATGTCAAAAAATATATAATGGATTTGTGAAAAGTATGTTAAATACATATGTAAAAGTATTCACAATGGACATGTCAAATACTTGCATAATGGACGTGTCAAAACTAGACACAAAGGATATGTGAAGCGTACTATACACAATGGACTTATGGATACGTATATGTCAAACGTATGCTTCTCAGGTATGTGAAAAATATACATAAAAGATATGTGAATGTGGTTAATGTGGAAAGACTTTACAGTTTGCCAGGGTATCGAAATGCACGACCTAACGTAATGACTTTGGGCCCATTTGTACTTCGAAATCTGTTTCAGGGCTCGAAGACCATTCAGACATCAAGTTAATTTTAGCCTCTACATCCCATGCCCGCTCTACCTGTACACAAGGTAGCCGTGTATTTAGTACCTGAACCACGTCTGTGGATGGATGAGACTACTGGGAACTGATCATTACTTTAGAGTATTTATTCCACCAACCTAACAGTGCTGGCAATGCTCAACCTGTACTCAAGGCAGCCGTGTCTCGTCACATACCCAGTACCTGAACCACGTTAGATGGCCAGTGAGTGGATGGATGAGACTTCTTGGAACTGATCATTACTTTCGAGTATTTATTCCACCAACCTAACAGTGCTGGCAATGCTCAACCTGTACTCAAGGTGATCGTGTCTCATCACCTGCCCAGCACCTGAACCACGTTAGATGGCCAGTGAGTGGATGGATTACACTTCTTGGAACTGATCATGACCTTCAATTATATATTCGTGGATGGATGAGACTTCTTGGAACTGATCTTGACCTTCAAGTATTTATTCTACCAACCCAGTAGTGCTGGCAATGCTCAACCTGTACTCAAGGTGATCGTGTCTCATCACCTGCCCAGCACCTGAACCACGTTAAATGGCCAGTGAGTGGATGGATGAAACTTCTTGGAACTGATCTTGACCTTCAAGTATTTATTCTACCAATCCAGCAGTGCTGGCAATGCTCAACCTGTACTCAAGGTGATCGTGTCTCATCACCTGCCCAGCACCTGAACCACGTTAGATGGCCAGTGAGTGGATGGATGAAACTTCTTGGAACTGATCTTGACCTTCAAGTATTTATTCTACCAACCCAGCAGTGCTGGCAATGCTCAACCTGTACTCAAGGTGATCGTGTCTCATCACCTGCCCAGCACCTGAACCACGTTAGCTGGCCAGTGAGTGGATGGATGAGACTTCTTGGAACTGATCTTGACCTTCAAGTATTATTCCACCAACCCAGTACTGATCTTGACCTTCAAGTATTATTCCACCAACCCAGCAGTGCTGGCAATGCTCAACCTGTACTCAAGGTGATCGTGTCTCATCACCTGCCCAGCACCTGAACCACGTTAGCTGGCCAGTGTGTGGACGGTTGAGACTTCTTGGAACTGATCTTGACCTTCAAGCATTATTCCACCAACCCAGTTCCGTCAACTCTAACTGTAAATAGGTATCGCTTAACCTACCTGAACCTATATAACGAACACAGCTAAAACACGTCCAGTCTTGCAAGTCAGTGAACCATTTCACAATACAGTGTTATGTTATTGAATTTAACTGACACTGAAGTAGTTCTAATATCCCCGAGGTCGACTCACCTTCCCATCAAGGAACTCCTTCACCAGTTGTTGAATCTTGGGTATCTCACTTGATTCTCCGACCATAACAATCTCATGGATATCCGTCCTGTTCAGATATGCCTCATCCAAAGCCGACTGCATATAATTCAAAGTTGATTTGAAAAGGTCCTGACAAAAGAAAAAGTAAACAAATTAGATATAATATGATGATGCATCATCATTCAATTGCCTCAATACCTTAGTTATTGTGTATTAAGAGATACTGCTTGTAACCCATCGACTATCAACCGACTGGTCAGAGAACATCAGGTAGCTTTTGCTCAATGTATTCCTTTATGGTGTTCAGCATTCGTGGGTGATACGTGATATCACAGGTATGTGTTAATCAACACTGAATGCTGCACTGTAGTCAAAGATGCTGATTTCAGTCATAATCATGTAATTGAGCTAATTGTGTGATGCAACATAGAACGCTGCGTCACACAATGGGGAAAGATTTCTAACACTGAAATAAGCTAGGCCTTGTACCACAGAGCAAGACTCTTTGTCAAAATGAACTGCATGTACGATCGAGTCAGCACAAAGGTCGTTGTTGAGGAATGAGGCCCGGGTGAGTTGAATGTCAGAATGTGTTTATTACGGTCATGGACGTTTTGCGTTTGTGTGACCTGCAAAACAATATTTACACGTATCACTTGAACTCTTACCATGTTCAGTTCCTCCAGTTTAGCTCTAGTGAGGACTTCAGAGAAATCATGACCACCCATGATAGACTCAATCTCCACCCGAGTCTGATGCTGGGAGGACAGGGCTCTCTTCGCCTTCTCCACCTCACGACGCAGTTTCTGGGTGGCCCCGCTGTTCTTTAGTAGGTCCTGCCCCGTCCTCGTCTTGTATTGTTTGATGAAGTACTCTATCAGTCTCTGGTCGATGTCTTGACTGCCTGACAGAGAATGTATGGAAGACATGTAATGACGTAATTACGTGCTATATGACACAATGTGTTCTTCTTTTTCAAAAGTGATGTTATTGATTAATTTACACAACAGAATAAATTTAGCAAAAGAAGGTATGGAAAACATGTTATGACATAAGCCAAATTTGACACTACATTTTGTGTGTATTTTATTCAAAAGGTTCAAAAGGAGTGGTATTTTGTCCTGGAATAATTTAGACAACCGCTGCTAGTATGGTGGAATACATTACGTAGATACGTAAATAACCACTGTGGGACTGTAATGTTCTATCGAGTCTATCAAGTGTAGTTGAACACATTACCGGGAGGAGTGAAAAAGCCAATATGGCAACAACATACACATGTAGGCGAGACATTTACCTAGATGTGTGTCTCCATTGGTGGCCACCACCTCAAACACGCCATGGTCGATGGTGATGATTGACACGTCAAACGTTCCCACTCCCAAGTCAAACACCAGGACGTTCGTTTCTCCATCTAACTTGTCCAGACCGTACGCAAAGGCGGCAGCAGTTCTACAATGTACAGATTATGTTAGGATGTCCTCCTCCTCCTCCTCTTCATCATCATCATCATCATCATCATCAGCAGCAGCAGCAGCAGCATATCCATCATTATAGGTGTCATCAACATGATAATATCACTGAACAAAGTCATATTTATAACTTATGTTATAAACTAACTGGCAAAAGAAACGATACCAAGTCAAAATCACTGATATTACAAAACGACAAACCAGCATTCATCGTCATCACCATAAGTATATCCATCGTCTTGGTGGCATGATACTGTGATCGCTGAACTATGTGATATTTATAACCTATGTTATATTTGGAGTACACTTAAGTATCTCAGTATTAAACAGATTTCAGTACGATTCGAACACAAACTCCCAGTCTCAGGCTCCTATCCACCAGCACACAGTTACCTGCCCCACTCAGCCACCGTGGCTTCCACAAAAACGGAACAGGTCATAAGCAAGTGGGTAAGGGATGGGGGCATTATTCAAAAGGCTACATGACTATATTAACCGATATGTTTCACTGAAAAACAAAAGCTGGTTGTATAAGGACTAGGGGAGCAAGATACTGACGGTTCGTTGATAATACGCAGAACATTCAGCCCAGCGATGGTGCCGGCGTCTTTGGTTGCTGTTCTCTGGGCGTCGTTGAAGTAGGCGGGGACGGTGACGACAGCATTGGTGACGTTTTCTCCCAGGTACGTCTCTGCCATCTCCTTCATCTTTGACAACAACATGGCCGAGATCTCCTCAGGAGCGAACACCTTGTCCTCTGACCCAACTCGGACTTCTATGTACGGCTTGTTTTCCTTGTGTATCACCTGGTCAGTAAATTAATTAATAAATTCCTTGTTCTCTTGAAAAGTGGAAAATCTTTACTCTCTTGATAAATAAACACGATATGAGAATACAAATTGTACTCTGGTCAAAACACCTTTTAAACACCTGGTTAATTATCTAAAATATAAACACCTTATATTAATGCTGCCATTAACGAGAAACACCCGTAACAGAAATAATAATGTGAATATTTAACTGACTGATGATCTGCACATACAAAACATGAAAAGCTTTAGATGTTTAAAGATAGTGTCACTAAGGACTCCCAAAATAATCAACAAAGCTACAAGTGTACATCCCACACACCTTGAAAGGAAATCGTTTGATGTCCCTCTGCACGGACGGGTCATCCCAGGTGCGACCAATGAGACGTTTAACGTCGAAGATGGTGTTCTCCGGGTTTGTGGTCATTTGGTTTTTGGCGGCGTGTCCGATCAGAGTCTCCCCATCCGGGGTAAACGCTACATAGGAAGGGGTGATCCAGTTCCCCTGTTGGTCGGGGATGATCTCAACTTGGTCATTTCTAACCACGCCAACACTGAAAGCACAAACGTTACATTTCAGTGTTTTCCACTTGTATAATATTTTCTTGTTAGGGAAACGGTGGGGTAGCCTAGTGGTTAAAGCGTTCGATCGTCACGCCGAAGACCCGGGTTCGATTCCCCATATGGGTACAGTGTGTGAAACATATTTCTAGTGCCCCATCGTGATGGTGCTGGAATATTGCTAAAAG